TGGCTCAAGATCTCGATCTGCGGATGCGTCACCAGCCCCTAGTAGATGAGCAGTGGGATCATGTGATTCTAGTTTGAGCCAGCTTGGGCTATAATCTGCAGAAACAGTTTATAAACTGCTTGTTCTGTTAGTTTAAATGTCATGTGAACCAGGATCTTATAGTATGTGATTATGCTGACTTGTTCAGACTTTCGGATCTTAATCTAGTACTTCGTACCTTGTGTCTTTGCCAATGCTTCTGTCATGGATGTTTTTGTTATCAGTATGGATTATATATTTTATGTTATCTGATTGGTTAAAAATTACTTTTGGAACCCTTCGTCGAATTATTAGACTATTAGAGAGCCTTTATTATTTTTGGATAAAATAGAATATTCCCAAGAATTGCAACAATTAATTTATTCAAATAATACTCCCTCTTTCTCTTTATTTTTGTACCATTATTATTTTTTGGGTCAAATTTTGTATACTTTGACCGTAATTTACCGTTAATTTATAAGAGATAATATAGTCATGAGTGATCTTGTTAGATTCGGCTCATTGCATATTTTATTAATATTATGTTTTTATAATTTTAACGTGTATAAAAATGAAGATATATATTTTTTTTCTGGTGAGCCCGAGGGGCAAGCCCAAATAAAGTGAAAATGAAAATGAAGATATGTGCACTCTAAGACACGTCTTGGAGACCGTAAAAAATCAAATGGAGCAAAAAAATAGGGACAGAGAGAGTAAGGAGGAATTCATGTGTATTGCTAGTTTGCAACAATGAATTGCTAAATTAATGTGCATTCGTATTCAATATGAACTTGTTTACAACCTCAAAAGAAAATGAGGATCAACAATGCTACTCTGTATTATAAGTACAAAAAAACAAGGCCCATTTCCATACTTCAATAATGGGGGAAATACAAATTCATAGGAATTGTGTTTAAGATTAGTTGTTTGGTTAGCAAAAATGTAGAAAGTGGAAATTCCTAAGGAATTTGGATTCCTACAAAACATGTGAATTAATTTCACACACCCTACCTTGGTCACTCGAACTTCTTACATGTATTTTGGGTAAAATTACATTATTGTCCTCAAAATTTTGGGAAAGTAGTTCAAGTTATAATAATACATAGGTATAACATAAGTTAACTAGACAAAACATAGGAAACTAATTAATGGGAAATACGATTTTCTATACACAATTTTAGTATTTTCTAGGCAATAAAAATTTCCATGTATTGTAACTTTTTATAGGCATTTAATTCTCATATGCAACCAAATGAAGCCTGAGTAATAGATAACCATTTGGTTATGCATGTAAATCCATTTACTACAAGATCCAATTGATTCTATAATCAACATTTACATACTTCATATTACTATCACCAAGTGATTAAAATAGATGAGATTACAACGAAAATAAAATTTGCATAATGGCATTCGTTTCATATATTACTATTGAAGAGGCGAAAATTTGTTTATTTGGAAAATGTAAAAAGTGTTAGAGTAGTCTTCATAATAGGTTTTGTGAATGATGAGAAATTAGTCCCATATTGGTAGAATAGAAGTTGGTTAAATAGGTTAGTCTATATAGCTAAATATTGGATGGAAGTCCCACATTGATAGAATAGAAGAAGTTAGCTTCTTCAATTCTATTTAACTTTTTATTGAAACAAGTTCAACATTGGTGGAATAGAGGATGTTAGCTTACTCTATTCAATTTAACCTGATGTTGGGGAGAAACTCCCACATTGGTTAAATAGAAAAGTTTAGCTTGAAGCTAGTTTATAAGTTACTCTATTCTATTTAACTTGATCTTGGGAAGAAGCTCCTATATTGGTTAAATAAAAAAGTTTAGCTTGAACCTAGTCTATAAGTTTAATATTTGGAGCATAACAAAACTTTTAACGTGTGTCATGGTTTATGACCACGGGCCTGATCAGACGGGCTTTGCCTGGTCGGGCGCGAACATATACTTAGAAATATAATATTTGCTCGTCCGATAGGGCTAAGTTAGCCCGGTCGAGCATGAGAGCAAACTTATTTTTTGAAGTATAGATGGTCCGATCAGGCGGGCTTTGCCCAATCGGACGCGAGCCTAGTTAAAAGATGTGTTCGTTTATTTGCCCGATTGGGCGGGCTTGGCTTGATCGGGTGAGTGTAAGCGGTTACTTTCCTACGGTTAAATTGATTAGGATAATAGTGACTATTCATTAAAATTCAGACCATCTTAATTAGTTATTATTTGGAAATAGTGACTCTTTGATTAAAAAAGCTGTTCATTATATATTTTAATGGCTCTAAATATTTTTTTTTTTTACTTTATCTTCTTCTTTCTTATCTATTCTATTGTTCTTAAAGTATTCTTAGCCTCTTAGGAAGTTCAATTACATTGTTTTAATTGATCTCGAACTTAGGGAAAATCCTGAAAGCATAGTGGGGGTTAAAATTGCTTTAAGGATAGTGTAAAAACGTCCCTAATTCTTCATCCCCATAATTATTTTCAACATAGGTGTCCGACATGGAGCAAACTCCAAAATTGAAGAAATCGTAAGCAAAAAAACTATAATTCCTTGCAAATATACTAATTAGATATTCCCAATCTTCCAAAATAAAGTGAAAGAACATTGACTAACTTGTGCTAGTCAATCATCTTCCAATTTTATATCTGCTGAAACATCAAGTTACTACGTATTACTCTTAGATGCCAAAAAAAGGAGTAATTAAAATTGTTCCTACCAAAAAAAACAATACATTCACATAAAATGATAAAAATATTATTTACTTGTGCTGCTTAAATCATTTTTTTCCGCAATTATGCAAACGTTGTAGTTGCCACAAAGTTCGTTGAATTTTATTCAATGATCATTGGACAAGAAGTTGTTAGCGGTCAAAGTATAGCTGGTTTGACACAAAGCCACCATAGTTTTTATTTTTAGACGAAGTATAAAAAAAAAAAAAAAAAAAAAAAAAAAAAAAAACTCAATTAATTAATTAATTATCAGAATATGTCATGTGTTACAAAATATATTCAATGTGGATGCTCATTATTGCTTGTAACCCCCTAGTATTATACCACCCATTGTAACCCCCATATGTCATTACCTCTATTGTAACCCCCACTTAAATGGAATCTTAATTTTTCATGAAGGTTACATATTATATATATATATATATATATATATATATATATATATATATATATATATATTATGGGCTAATCAAATGACAACAAAAAGGATTTACCATCCACATCTCTCTCTAATATCCTCCCTTTCCCTTATTTTATAACATCATGAGAATTTTCGTATGACTTGACTTTCTCGCATTCTAGGACATTGAAGTTTACCAAATCTTCGAGAAAACATCCTCAAGTAGGATATAATCTACCATCAAGGTTTTTCAGCCCTATAAAATGCTACACACAACGTTATTTATACGTAATGACAAAACATATTTCTTATTTCTTCTGTCTTTGAAAGTTTGACTTTTGTATTTTTGACATATAGAGTAGTTTGCAGTGTGTATGTTATCTTCAAATATAAGTAAGTAATTGTAAAAAAATTTAAAAAAGTTCAAATTTAAAGAATTTATAGTGTGAGGTGTGACGAACATAATTAGATTTTATGTGTAAGAAAATAGTACTCCCTCCATTCCTTATTTACATGCCTATTTTTTTTTTGGGTTTCAAAATTACATGTCTATTTCTATTTTAAAAATGTACTTTTTGACAATTTTCCCTCTTTATGATGAGTTGTCTATCATTTTTTTTTTGTACTTTTGACATCATTTTCCAACATTTTCTCTCTCCATATCTTCAATAATTACCAACTATATTTTCTTTCTCTCTATCTCTCTCTAACCCCACATTTTTTTTTACTTCTCAATCATGGCTTTTAAGTTCCTTAATTCTCGTGTAAAATGGGAAGTAGACATGTAAATAAGGACGGAGGGAGTAACTTTTTTTTATTATTATACAAATCATAAAATATGATTTGTGTTGGAATAAAAAAAGGGAATTCAAGGCGTTACTTCCCACTCTTAATTTCTTGAGTAATTCTCATAACCCCCCATTTTAAGTGGAAGTTTAAGGTGATTAATCACCACCGTTATACTCTTGTGTAACTCTTATAACCCCCTTCTTAAGAGGATGTTTAAGATGATTAAATACCACCATTATTCTGATTATTTACCTCACTTGATGTTTGTTGGGATTCTTCTTCTATGTTTCTCTATAAATAGAAGAAGCCTTTTTTTTATGTTTTATACACTTGAAAAATACATCAAACACAAAGCTTAAACACATTCTTTATTGGGCATAAGTTACTTGACTCCAACCTTCCACCCAAAAGTGCCTTTGTGTGGAAGTGTTGTGCTAACCTTAGGGAACAAGCCGGCGAATATAATTGAGCACCTTGATTGCGCCGGAATTTCATTTTCAAGTCAGTGATTTGCATCACGACACACCGATATTGTTCATTGTTTGTGAGATCATCTTTTCGATCTTACTTAAATATTATTATACTATTTGTACTAGACTACCCCTTTATTTACAACACTTTGTTTATGGTTGAAATTATTTTATGGGTAATGCTATATGCAGCCCTTAAGCATTTAATATATTTCCCTTTTCAGTATTAATTTGAGAATTTATCTGACAATTCACGAGTAAATCAGTGTAATAAATATTTATTTATTGTGTATTCTTCTTACTTTTAGCTTCTTATATTAAGCCCTTACGGCTGTATATATCTTTTTCCTTATTGTATTTTGATTGCTTGAATAATAAATTAGTCAAAATTTTTAAGAGTAGAGGTAGTATGGAGTATGTAAATTTATAAATATGTCATCCATCTAAAATTAGTTGACATATTATCTAACCTGTAACTTGTAAGTTGTAACAATACTTAGTCCTCGAAGACTACCCTTTTTTTTATAGACAAGGCAAACAACGGATATGAGAAATTCTAGACATACTTATTGGATACATAGTATCTTTCTAGAATCCTAGGTATAAATACTACTAGCACATCAATGTAAGATATAAGAGTAATCAAAAGTGGTGTACTAAGTTTAATTACACTAACCCCTAAAAAATAGTTAAATAACACAAGTTTCCCTTAATTTATTATGAAATTCCCTCCAAAAAAAATTAAATAAAAAATAGTGAAATAGCCTAATGTATCAAAGTTTGACCTGACCTATTCTGTAAAACTTCATTTTCTCCGTCAACTTATCACAAAAACGAGTAACGACTCCAGCTTTATTCCACCTTATATAAGGACTTACCCTCCACAAATAAACTTCATCAATTTTCAAACGGCCTTAATTTTTTCATTTAACCTTCTTGCACAAAAATTATAACTTTTTAATTAGATTCATCAGAAAATTATTTACTTAAAAAAAAAAAAAAAAAAAAAAACAGAGAAAAAGAAATTGTCGGGAAAAAAGAAAATTTGGAAGAAATGACAGGAGGATTGCTTGAGGTTTTGGTGGTTGCAGCTTCTGGTCTTCCCAACGTTGATTTTCTAAGTATGTCTAGTTTTTCTTCCTTGTTTCTTAATTATTTATTTTTATGATTTATTTCGCTTTAGTTTTGCTGATTTTACACCATTATTTCACTTTTTGTATAAGTTCATGCATGCTTGAGATTTGGTTGAATTCGTCGTGGAAATTTGAGTATTTTTAAATTAATTACAAGAGAAATTATCATCAATTTGGAAGAGCGTTGGAGGAATTTGGGTAGAACTTCAACAAAATAACAAAGATAGTTGGTAATGTTTTAAAGATTGGTTTTGATATCGAGTATAGTTGCACGTATTGATTGAATCTCGTTTACATCATTACTTTTTATGGGTGTTACAACTCACAACTCTCTATAAACCAATAGTGCTGATTACATTATGACAATTACAGTAGTTGCTCTGTTAAATTCCTGGAGTAATTTCCTAATTCATACACCCTAAAGTAGGCTAATAAAAAAGCGGAAGAAGTATTATTTCTAACGCCCCATGAACAATAATGTTATTCAAATTTCAAATTCAAAAAAAGTTGGTTTTTGAACCAAAATTGTCGTTTTATGCTTTAATAATCCTGGATATCATGTACACCAGTAATTTATGGCGGATTGGCAGCTATGCATGCAAGAGTTGTTTCATACTTTGACTCCAATCAGTTTCAAATTGTAACAAGTCGAGTCAACACTGAGTTTATGCCATGTGTTTAATGTATTTACATACGAAGTAACTTAGATTTAATTTATTTAAGAACGAAGGGAGTAGATAATCTAGATATCAAGTAAATAACCTATACATATGGTGTAGTAATTTATTGTATCAGTTTGGTGAGAAGGACAAATTATATATATATTTCGAGTCTCTCGTGTGCCATTGGAATTGGATTTTTGTCTGTATGATAGCTAAATCACCGCAGAAGAAATTTTGAGTCAAGCTTAATTGTCCTTTGATAATTAGATGACTTATTAAGTTATTAGTTGAATCACGATGCCACGACGTTGAAGTATACCTGGGACTTTTGATGGTTTCGAGTTGATTTGTTCTTTCTTAATTACAAGTATATTTCTAAGCACTTCAAACTTTCAAAGTTCTAAACGGTTTTATTCTTATTATTTGTTAGCAGATAAAATTGATCCCTATGTCGTGGTTAAGTACAAAGGCCAAGAGCGAAAGACCAAAGTTGCAAGAGGTGTGTATCTGTTATATACTTGCATTACATTCTTTATGTTCTTCCACTTGATTAAGAACTCAAATCACAAAAGTAAATTTCGTATGCATCAGTAGTTTAAGTAGTTAGTCGTGAATGGTAAGATAACTAGCAGTTTCATATGCATCTCAAGATGTAAGATTAAAATTTGATTAATCCCTTTTGTTACGAGCTTGGTTAGGATTAAGACATAACGGAAATTGAAACTTATTTGACATTGTACATATTGTCCATTGCAGGACAAGGTGGTAATCCAGAATGGCACCAAAAATTGACATTCAGGGCAGAGTACCCTGGCTCAGGAAGTGACTACCACATCAATCTAAAGATCATGGACCACGACACCTTCTCTTCTGATGATTACATTGGTGAAACTAAGTATGTTCTTTTTACTTATTGGTGAAAATTGTCTTCTATCTTTTGGGTAATGAATCAATTTATCACTTTAGAAAGCCTTGAATTTAGATCATTATTAGTTCAACAATTGGCTTTGGCGTTGACTAGTCTGGAAGTAATAGTCTTGTTGTTTGCTCCGGTAATGTGACAAGTAAGTCTAGATTGAGGTTGTTCAATGATCAATTTGTATGCTAAAAGAAATCTATTATAGATACACGATTTTATGCGTGATGCACAGCAGAATGAATATATCCAAAGGCATGTATATTAAGTTTGGAGTTGTGATTGATTAGGTGGTTGGCTAATAGAATAATTGGTGTTTTATAACAGGATTCATGTGGAAGATCTTCTAGCTTTAGGAGTGGAGAATGGCTCTTATGAAATGAATCCGACAAAGTTCAGAGTGACTGGAAGTAATGAAAAGTACTGTGGTGAGATCAAAGTTGGTGCTAAATTCACCAAGGTACAATTTCTCTCTTTTTTCTCAAGTGTTGAAAAAAATATTCTTGTAGTTTGCATGATTTTGCTTGAATAGTTGAAATGTACATGCTCATAACATACCTAATGACTTCCAAAACTAAGTTTTAGTACCTAATCTAAGCTCAATTCTTTAGTATGATGAAGTAATTCGATCTAAAGATATCTAAAATACTTGAGTAATACTCATTCCGTATTAATAAGTGTTGTGGATAAGAAACTAGAATAGTAAATTAGGATTGTAGAAATGCATGATCAATCGTTATACCATTTTGGCATATAAATATGTAGCACTTAACCTTTTTGTATAGATTATAATCATGATCAATCGGTATATCTAAACTGGGTGTTCGTTTGTATTTTGCAGGCATCAGATTACGACGATGATGAAGAGTTAGGAGGATGGAAGAATAGCTACGGTGATGACTCTGATGAATAACTTCCTTAATAATCAATCATTATTGAATTGGACTAAAATCAAATATCAATTATTGTAAATATTTGTACTTTGTAGTTGAATCGCTTTGGAAGTTTTCACCTTAGAGTTTTCTGGTGCTTTGAGTTGATCACAGAAGACTTGGGACAACTAATTTTGTAATTTAGTTCAAATCTTAGAATCTATTCAATTGATATCTTTATTCAGCAAAAAAAAATTCAAATTTCAACAAAATGTAATTTAGGGATCCAATTGCACTTTTCATCTAAATTGCGTTGATCGTATAGATTTTACTTTTAAAAAAAGCTAAGGAAGAAGGGATCCTATTGAACCGATATCCCAGTACTCCCAAACAAATGTATGTGGTTGGCGGGGCTCAAACTCGTGACCTCAAAGTCATAAGGTGAGTTCCCTACCAACTCCAGTACGGAGTATTAGTTATTGTGAATTTGTGACATACTTATACTTCGTATATATTTTGTATTAATTTATTATTGAGAAATTTGATTGTTTATTTTTCAATATATTATTATTAATCATACAACACAGTAAATTATTCACATCTTTTTGCATTTTCCTCTACAATGTTGTATTGATCGTTTAGTAGTCTCCTATATATATTTCAAGGAAGTAAAAAAAAAATGTATATATACGAAGTACTATTTTGTATTGATGATTCAAACGCCATAAAAAGAAAAGCGAAAATAAATTAGAAGAAATTTGGGTCATTTTAATTCTTTAGCCACTTTTTTTTTTTAATTTTTTTAAAATCTTTACGAGAAGTTAATTGTAACAGCAATGGCACCGAAGATGAATTAGAGAGTCCCTAGTGTTTGAAGTAAAACATTAATTTATAGGAGTATTCATTGTCTAAACTATAAAGCAGGAAATATGAAAACTTGGGGTACTCTAAGTGAAATTAGTTATTATCAAATAGAATTAAATTTGATATAAAAATACAATTTATATATTGTGTTACCACTAAGCCTTCTTAGCTCAGTGGTAGAGCGCGTGGCTTTTAACCACGTGGTCGTGGGTTCGATCCCCACAGACGGCGTTATTTTAATTTTGCAATGTAAGATATACAAGTATAAGAATTAAGATATAAATTAAACTTGAACTAAAATAACACTAAGCCTTCTTAGCTCAGTGGTAGAGCGCGTGGCTTTTAACCACGTGGTCGTGGGTTCGATCCCCACAGACGGCGAATTTATTATTAATCTTTCTCCAAATAGCAAGTTAAGCACGTGCTTTACAAACGGCGATATAGTTTATTTTAAATTTTTATTTTTTATTTAAGTTTCATTTTTAGAGGAATAGTAGAGTAAGTATCCGGGTTCAACTCAATTTCATCTATATGGCATGAGTCATACTATATTTCGCCAAGGTCTATTTCAACTCGATCATTCAATTTTAGGTATAGTTTGAGTTCAGTTTCGGCAAAGGTTCATTTCAACTTGATCATTCAAGTTTAGGTATAGTTTGAATTTTGTATCGAGTCAACTTTCTGCATGTAGCCGGCTGACATACAATAAACTCTTACCGAGTTACCACTAATGAAAATCAAAACTCACATCAACTTTTTGCATGTGGCCGGCTGACATATAATAAACTCTTACCGAGTTACCACTAATGAAAATCAAAACTCACATCAACTTTTTGCATGTGGCCGGCTGACATATAATAAACTCTTACCGAGTTATTTCTAACCAATTAAGTAACCTCTAAATTTCAGATCGAGTCAATTTCAAATCATTTAGCTAGTATGATTCAAATTTGGATTGAGATATTCAAATTCAATTCAATATTTGTCAACTATAATATTGAGCATGAGAATCTTGTCATTTGCAACTCCATGAATTTTGATCAACTACTCATTTCAAATTGGGGCTAGCGGACCTAAGCAATATAGTATTATTAAGTTCAACTCCTACAAGTGATTGACTTTATAATATAATTATACTTGTATCCACTAAGTTAGTCTTGTTCCAAATTCGTTGACCAAAAAGCAAAAGGCATAACAGTTATTTAAAAATAATAATTATCACAACAATTCAACAACTAAAATAAACAATACTTGTTGAAGGCAAATGCTAGAGTTTAAGGGAAAAAGAATGGTTAGATGTTGATTCATCAGCTACAACAGGCTAACAGCATAACCTGGTAGTTGAAGCATCACTACCACAAAACGGAAGAAATTACTTCAAAATGGATACAGTTATGGATTTTAGTCCTAAGTGTGGTTGACAATTCCTTTTTATGCGTTTGTTTCCAAAGGTTTAGTTTTTACTATTCTAGACTTTCAAATTTTCCTTGCAAAACATTACACAAAGATGACTTATTATATTATTCGAACTCTCAAAGGTGTGACTTGTTATGTGTCTATCCCCCATCTGATGTAAGACCTGTCGCACCCAAGACTTGCAAAGGGTTTAAAAAGTCGTTTATCCTCTCCTGCTGGAATTAGTAATTGGTACGTGGTATAATGTGTTACATTCAGTTAATATAGTCAGCACTATAGACATATCATTGTTGATGTTGAAGTTTTAACCCCTTTGCAGATCTTGATTAAAATATCACTAAAGCCAAGGTCATAAACTAGTTAAATTTAATTAAAAACATAAAATAATCTTGTCAAATTCAAAGCACCAAAATCCTGACAATCTCTTTATCTATTGTGCCACCTGTTTCTATGGATTCTGAGTATAAACCTGTAATACGTAGGTTTTTTTTTTTTTTTGGGAAAGATAAAAAAAACAATGTCATGCGCTTCACGTCCTTCACCTCCCTTCAAATAGGCATAAAAATAAATGAACACAAATGATTTCATGTGATTTATTTCCTTTAAGTTATTATCTTAAAAACCTTAATTTGATAAGTTATACTTTCTCCACCATCACCTGATCACTAACCTCTCCACCGCAACTCAACTCAACCTGCTTCTTGTTATTCATTCCTTTCCTACCTTTTTGTATTGCTGCCTTTATTTCTGTCTCTTCATCCATCCTTTTATAACTCGACTAACATTATGGGCACCAACCAGTATGCTCGTATGTACGTGTGAATTGTGATATTCCTTACTAGAACGAACAATGAAATTCGAAGACTTCTTAATGCCGTCAAGTGAAAAGCAACGCAGAAAGATTGCTCTCGAGGAGGAGGTAATATATCTTTTAAATATTTCAGAATCTCCAGCTTATACAGCTACAACAAAAATTATCAGAGCTTTAATCTCGATGATAGACCGTGGCTACCAAAATTCTTATAAATGTTGAAAACTTTGATTAATTACCTGAATTTATGTCCTATAGGTTGAGGAGCTGCAAGAGAGACTAACTGGGGAGCTGCAGATAAACAGCGTGCTGCAGAATGCATTAAAGGGATCTCTTCTTTCCTGTTCTTGCCTTTCTTCAAGGCTAACCCTAGAGGTAATTGGCTTTCGCTTTCTCGTAGTACTAGTTGCCTGGATGTTAGACCAGAAATTAGTTAACTTGCAGACATGCCACAGTTAGCTGGTTATCAGGTCATAAAACAAGAACAGTAACGAAGTTTGTGTATTTAACGAAGAAATTTAAGTTTGTGCATAATATAATATACTCCAGTGAAGAAAACAAAATGTTTTGACAAACTGATTGCTACACTAACATTCACATGAGAAATTCTGAATGTAACCACTAAATTTCGTAACAGGTACTTTAATCATCTTATAACATATAATAAGTGATATAACCAAATGGAATCCAAGGTTGCAAAACATGTCCAAAATCACAGTCTAAATTACGCTTCTGGTGCAGGTACAGGTGCTTCTAGCGGAATTAGAAATGGTAGAGAAAGAAATCAATTGGCTAGAAACTAAAGTTGAGAAGCTGAAAAAGAATACGTACAACGAGAAGAAACTTATCAAAAATAACGACTTAGAGCAACCGAAAAAGTACCTGGAGTGGCAATTACCATACAAACAGCAAAATGGAGGAGAGCTTAAAGATTCAAAATGGGTTACAGTAATAAGAAGTCATAACAGGCGAAAAAGCAGTTTAGATGAGGGAAGATTATCTTTGAGCTCTATCTCAGACATGCAAAGTTCTTTTGCGAAAGGTTAGTAAAAACTGCTTTTAAAAAAATCAGGATTCCAATCTATACAATTCAGAAACTCCTTTTAAATAATAAATGTAGCAAATACTCCGTATGGCAATTGTAATAAATAAAGAAACATATCTTATTCACTTAAATTTTCATTGCACCATGGATGAAAGCAGAAGAAACTGCCAAGAGATACCTGAGAATTATCAGAAATAAACCAAACCGCGTCATAGATGCTGAAGCCAGCAATGAGGAACCAAATAGACTCTCTGAAGAACTTCTCAAATGCTTGATAAACAAATTTGTAAAGCTAAACCAGACATCATCAGAAAAAGAATCAACTTCTGCTGCTTCCAAGCATAATTTAAACTGCATCAACTCCAAAGGCTTTTCACCCAAAAATACATTCAGCTGTAAAGCAAGATCATCTATCACCAGTGATGACGGAGTTTCACAGGATGGCACAGAAATTGGTTTTGGCCCTTATAAGAAATTCATCCAAATCACAAGAAACTCACTGAAGACAGCTCGGCTTTCAGATTCATGTCCTGCAACCAGAAAATTGAGGTACCTAGTACATTCCTCAGCAAATATCTACTGTAAGAAGGAAAACTGACATGCTATAGGACTCCATATCAGGGTTCTGCTGCAGAAGTTATGCTACGTGGACCTGTCATTCTTGAGTAACAAACAAAAGCTAGCTTTCTGGATCAACATCTATAATGCCTCTATAATGCATGTACTGTAAGAAATCTTCAACCAGTCCGAATCCAACTAGATACCAAAACTTTGGTACTGACACTTTTTTTGTGTTCTGGAACCAGGCTTACTTACAATATGGGCTGCCAAATACACAGGAGGGAATGTTGACACTTCTGAACAAGGTAGGTATCCATGCTGCAGCTCTTCATCCTTTGCAGGCAAAGAAAACATGTGTCAGTAGCATAAAGCAAAGCTAGAATAGGAAAGCAATATTTAGAAAATTAAATCTGTATGATAGGGAAGAACTGATGTGTATTTTTGTACCAGGCAGCTCTAAATGTTGGCGGAATAGTGCTGAATGCTCTGGCAATTGAGCATTACCTTCTTCGACATCCAAGTGATCCAAAACTTGTAAGTAGTCAAAGAATCTTCTTACATTCCATCTCCTTTAGTATAATGATTTGATATTTTATAATTGAAACTAGAGAGAAATGCATAAGAACATCTATGCATGCAACATTACCTATGCAGAGCGCTTTCCTAAACCTACATTTGCTTCTTCTCCAACCCCTAGGCCAACTCCTATACAAAGTAAATCTTTGCAAACTAGGATAAGAAAAAAGAAACTAAATCGATCTTAGATTTCCTCAGAATATAAAAACAATCTTAATTGATATTGTATGTCGACATTTATAATTGCATTCATCTGAGGAGTTGGTCAACAAATAATATTCAGGGGATAGAATCATTCAAACAAAGCGGAGTTTTTCATTCATTAATCCTACACTATTCTCTGCATCTTCAGACTCTTCACCTAACTCATCAATTTCAATGTATAGGATCTCATAAACGAGAAGGAAATGTTACTACGCCGGGCTTATGGACTGCGATATCCAGAACCGAACATCACCTTTGCACTTTGCCGAGGCAATTGGTCTTCACCAGCAGTGAGTATAATCTCCTTGACCATATACACTCTTATCACCTGGTGTTACAGTAAACCTCAAGCTAAGCATATCAGTAATTACAATATGCAGATGTGGATTTATACTCCAGAAGATGTGGTAGATCAATTAAGTAGAGCAAAAGTGGAATACTTGGAAGCATTTATACGAGTAACAAGCAAGAGGAAGATCCTAGTGCCCAAACTCCTTCAATGGCACATGCAAGATTTTGCAGATGACATGGAATCATTGATAGAGTGGATATATAGCCAATTACCGCCAAATGGGGTATTAAAAAGAGCAATAATGGAGTGCCTATATGAAGACAGAAAGCTTCCAACAGGAAAGATGATAGAAATTGTGCCCTACCAATATGAATTCCAGTACTTGCTGCCACATTAGAGGAATAACAAGCGTGAAAAAGGAACTAACACATCTGGTGCAACAGGCACACTAAATTACATAACTTAACATAGCTGTATAGCTTCATTCATAATGGGATCAATTTATCAAAAAATTCCTATCTCGGTTCTCAAAACAGTAGAAATTGTACAAAATATATTCTGTAACTTGCTAACAGATGATTCAAGAAGTCCTATGTACTAATGGTAGTATCTAGGTAGCATTGGTACTAGGCTGTAGTACAATCAACAGACAAATTATAACCAAACACTTCAACTAGCTGTGGAATAGTTATTGTAATATGCACAGTCAAACTGTTCAGTACTATACTATCTCCACATCCAACTATATAAAATTAGGTACAAATTGATTTCACATTGCAGTGACGTGTACCCAGCAAAGGATTGTTTCAAAAGTGTGCAAAGTTAACACACCTCTCGGACTCCAGTTTGACTGGAATATGATATATTGCTAGCTGCCATTCTTACCTTTACATGGGAAGTTTGTTGGCAGAAGCTATAGGAACTCTACCCAATGTTCACTCGGCCACTAGAGGTGTCAAGGTTCTCAAGGGTGGTCAGCATGTACATAACTTCACCATGATAACTGAATAAAGCATTGCAATGTATAGAAAGAATAATTCACACGTTGATTTCATTAATAAAATTTTGCTTCTCAAGAAGTTTTACAGATACCTCAACTCATATACAGCCCAAAGGCATGTCCAGCACTCTCTTTATAATAAAGACAAAAAAAACAGAATTAGTTGAAGGGGGGAAAAGGAGTATGCAGAAAATGTTGTATGAAGGATAATGATATAAAAGAAAATACGGTAGCACAAGAAAGAAGCTCATCCACTTTTTTTATGAGCTGCTAGGCGAGGTTTCAGTTAAGAAATTTACAACTCTATTCAACAGATTTAAGCCAAAAACAGTTTCTTCACAGTTGACCTTCACGGATATATTTAATGGTTTCGAGCAAGAACCTTCAACAGTAATGGTAATCAAGCAAGGAACAGAACTGCTTAATATCTCAGCACTGAATCGTAAGCACAAACCTGATGCATCATCAAGTTTAGAGGCCAGTGGAAAATCCACAGATACGAGAAAAAGGTTTGCATTACTTAGCATCTTTAGTGCTATGCTCTCACATATTATAAGATACACATCCTTTGTCAAATAAGTGTCACTTTTGTCCTTGCTCAGCTCCAAAATATGATCAGCAAAGGTGCACCTGAGACATACCGGTAAACATAAACACCCGGAAAAAAAAATTAAAAAGTAAAAATCAGTAAACACTAAGACAACAAATCAAGGACAAATAGCACCGAATCCTAGCAAACTAAGATAGATACACACTTGCATCACATTAACTGGTGAGTGACCCAGCTAAGCAAAAATATTATAGGGTTCATTGCCAATATGTGTATATTTTGAGATGATGACCGCCCTTACATTATCATACAAAAAATACATTATCCATAACTGACGTGACGTCATTGCTTAGCTTTTTGACAGAAAGAAGTTACTCCAGTAGTCCATTACTAACTAAATTAAGGGCAGTTATTACAAAAATTCTAATCAATACAAAAATGAATTAATTATTGAGAGAGAAGTTATCTTTTCTATATGTAGGCATCATGATGGCAAGATGAACTGGAGATTTTCTAACTTGAAAAAACAACATGATCATGGTTCTAACAGTGTCACACCACATGCAAATTGATTTTCCATTAGCCTAAATATAAAGTGAAAGAGGAGACAGCATTGGGACAAATTACGATCATGAATGTGACTATTCTTCCATCTGTACTCTGGCTTCCATTAAGCAACTTTTTATTATAATTCATGGTTTAGGACAAGCTACATTGTTATTAAGAAAAAAATGATAACATGCATTTCTATGTTGAGTACCACCCCTCAAGATGATTTTAATCATTTAAGCTAGTAGATCATCTACACATGCAGTACAGCAAATAATCATGAACAAAACAAGAGTAAGAACAAAAATAATTAAGTGCCATACCTTCTCACATATTCAAACATGCCAGGCAACTGTGATTCCTTATTTCTAAATTCTGGAACATCCATTTTTAAGGGCTTGATAAAGTATCCAATATCAGGCCGCAACTTGACAGAGTAATTCTTGCCATTGCACTGTAATGACAATTTTAGGGGTAGCAGATGATGATGAAACCGGACCTGAAGGACCCGTTTTATTATTTGACTTGGTCCAAGAGAACCAATCCCTTCCATTGGAACCAAAGTTGGAACGTCAACCTGAGCGGCAGATGACCTGAGATATCAAACCCTCCAATAAATCACTGCTTTTTAAAATATAAAAAAGGACTATAAGGAAGCTCTAGAAAAATCACAAAGGAACCAAAAAAACACAAAATGAACCATTCCACCCATCAAGTACTGCCACCTAGAATCTTCATATTTTTTTGAAAATCACAATGGAAACTAGTGGCGTCACGCTCATGTCACAACATGAAAAATGTGATAGCATAACATTGTCTAAAAACTTCCTTTCTAAATTAATGATATAAAATAAAGTTCAGACAAATGCTATCTCAAAAGGAATCCACCAAAGTAGCAGTGTGGAAAATGTGTCATTGTGTCAAAACATCAATCATCATGGTACAGAGTAATGAAAAAAGAGCACTACACATGTTAATGCCCCTAGAAACATCAAAACAAGACCTAAGCTACCCACTAATCAGAAAGAAGTATAGATTCTAGAAATCAATCCTCATGATCAAGAAATTCCTGTAAAAATCATTCACATTTTTCTTAAGTATCTTCAGCGAGTTAACTGTTTGCAAAATCTATTTGACCAAAAAGCACTATCCTGAGACAATAGTGTCCCAAGACAGCTGAACCCCATAGCATTAACCTAAACATGTTCCTCTATACTGGTTTCCAACCTTTTCCCATCTATTTATCATTCTAGAGAGGTATCAACTTTCAAAACATACATAGGCATGTCATGTGCAGTTGCCATTCCTTGATTGGGAAAGCATAACCCAGCAAACTACATCACAAGTAAGAAGCAAGGCACAACATACGGAGACATTTGATGCAATCCAATATTTCCAAAGCTGAAATATTAGCAGTAAAAATTGACTTCTTCAGCTGCACGTTAAATGGACACAGGAATTTCTTCATATGTTCTCACTAAACTTTGAGTAAGCATGGCAGACAGGAATCGTAACATTCTCAGTGAAAATGATAGGAATTCTGGCATTCTGGGCATAATTTTAGAGGAATTTCACATCAACAAATTATAGTTTTAAACTTAACTGACAACTCAAATTTAGCAACAGAAAGCACCCACTGAATCCACAGGTTACAATGACAAATATTTTACAAGAGATGGGATATACTAATCATGTCAAGTACACACATCAGTTTCCTTATATTGTAGCTAATATTTGAGAGAGAGAGAGAGAGAGAGATGCTCATATAAATAGTTAAGGATTTAAAAGTATATCTAAGCATTTCAGTTAATACCTCTCTGCTGTCATAAATTCTTGTTCTGTCACATCTGGAACTCTGATGGGGTCTTGATCTGCCAAAATCACTTCTGAAATAGGCTCATCAGAGCAATTATGAAAAGTAACCTCCACACAAGTTAGCAATGGTGAGATGTCTGATATCTGAGAGGAAAAAGAATAATCCACCTTCAACCCCTGACCACTCACAGTATCTAGAAGCGTATATGATTTAGGCTTGACCCGATTGCTAAGATTATCAATGGAGATTCTGGCAGATACCTGGATGGCATCACTTCCAGATGATTTCAGGTCCGACAAAACAGGCTGCTCGCCCAACCATGACTCTAAAGCCCTCCTAGATAAAATTTCCTCCACTCCACCAGATCCAGACGGATCGTGAATAGTCTCAGCACTATTCTGCCCCTTAAAAGAATAGTCCATATCTGAAATCTGGATCAGTGGACCTGAATTTTTATCAGCCTCACTTAGAGGTTGGCTCTCCTCACTGCCATAATTAGAAACCGAGGCACTATCTGAATGCTGAGAGCTGAAATCAGATGCACTTCCTTCATCCAGAGAACCAGAATTTATCTCAGAATCATCTGTTATATAGAAGTCCCCAGACTTTTCTCTTCCTTGGAGTACATCAGAGTCTTGGTCAAAATCGGCAAAAAGCAGGCTACAAGGTTTAGGGAGAGGCTCATAACCTGGCGCAGCATGAAAAACTATTTGTGAAAGAGAGCCAGGAAGATAGAAACGGGAACTTATGGGTTCAGACAATGGTGACCTTTTAGGGGGCCCGAACATTTTTTCTGCAATGAGATGGACTGCCGCCTCTTTTGGTGAAACATAGTCTACATCATTATCATGAGAGCCCAGAAACGTTGACAGCATCTTTGATAAAACACGAGCTCGGTCACGGACATCATATTTCATGTCGTTCTTTGCCAATTCAAGCACATAAGTTACAAGTTTTTTAATTGTCAATTGATCTTGATCTTCCCCTTTGGCACACAATAAGACCTGAATCGAAGGGAAAAGAAACAATTCAGTTATGATTTATAAATTTATTGACAACACCAAGAACTTGAATAGCAAGCTTATCCACCAACGAGAGCATAGAACAGCAACTGTGAATTGAAAATGCCAGAGTTTACATCGCGTAAGGTATCGGAAAGGACCAAAACCCCCCTTTTTTTTTTGGCCATGTTCACAGGCATGCCATTGTCAAGTCATATAATCTGCAATTCACAGATACACAAATTGTTTCTAAGGAACTCCAACACTGTACCCTCGCTTCAAGGAACTGTACTTGCCCTTGATCCAATTACCATACGATAAAACTTATACAAGTCAAAGAACCTTGCATGTGGTCAGACACATGAAGCATATATGAGGATAAGAGCCATTACACTTTGATGCCATGTCTGTCCACAAATTCATGGCCAATCACAAATTACAGAAATAAAATTCATATTTAGGGTTATATTCAAATAAAAGTTGATAGACGATAGTCAAGATATTACATTTGGGCTTTTATTCTCCTTTGATAAGCGGCCTAAATGGTAATCTCATTGAATTAATTGGTTCACTTTACTTTTTAATCACAAAATAAGATGCATAACTTTGAGCCACTTACATTTTATCCGTTCTTTCTCATAGTATTTTTTTATATTTCTGATTTTCTGATCCATAAACAAAACTAAAAACAAAGCAGGAGCAATGTATGAAGTTAATCAAAGTATGACTAACTTTCTCATATTTTCCTACTATACAAAAACAAAGAAGTATAAATAGGAGGGTAGACAAAGACACATGTAAACCATAGGAATACACATTTGGGCCTTGCCTAGATTTGGGGAATGGAGTGAAAAATCAATGGGGTAAAAAATATGGGCTTGCACTCTTTGCCTGAATTGAGGTTAACCTTTTGGGCCCTTAACATGTCCCCTCAAAGGAGGGTAATACATTACCCACACAGCACCAAGAATAATAGTTACCCAATTAATATTCCTCACCACTTTCCAATTCCACTTGCCTCCTCTCTTTGTTTCTTTTACAGGCTCTTTAACTCCCTCTCCTCACCGCCACCTCTCTCCTTTCTCTTTCTCCCTCTTTCCCTTCCATACGCATGAGATTGCAATCCTCCAAGTACCCAAGTATCTGCTATCAGATCTGGTTTGTACTATAATTTTTTATCTTAAGTTATTCATCAATTTCAATTTTTAAGTATAAACCAAGTTATGTTGTTTCATGAAAAAGTATAATTTTTTATTTTTGGTAAATTATTGTTGAATTAATACTGTAATTGGTTATAAAATTAACTAAAAAAACTGTGTGTTGCACGGGAATTAAGCTACTTTCAAGCATAAACAAATAAACAGGAACAAATTGATTAAATGTTCTGCACCATTTGAATCCTCTTATTCTTCAAACAAAGTACACATTTCTCATAATGATGAATTGGATACCTGGGCATGCAGTTATGCCCCCATACCCATCCATAGCCCAAATTTGATTAACATTGCGGAGGTAAAACATTTAGTGATCATACAGATATAATTTGGCATGAAAGCATCGATTACAGACATTACGACAGGCAAAAAGGCAATATACAGTGAAATGTTAGAGTGAGAAGAGCCATGGAATGGTAGACCTTGACTTACCTTAGTAGCAGTATTAAGTATTTGAAGCTTTGTTTCAGAAGCTTCTGAAGAGAAGCAATGAGCAAGATATCTGAGTACTGAGGTTAACATCAAAGGAACTCTGTCTCCTAAAGAGTTGTATTCACCAACCATCCATATAATTATTGCTCGTGCTGCAGGCACCTTAATTGAATCCAAGCTTCGAACCAATTGAATAATAACCTAAATGTCAAAGATTGAGAATTAAAAACATCAAGCACATGTAAAATGGCAAAATTATTTCAAAAGAGCAATAAAGAGTAATCATTATCTGACTTATAAAGTAGTCTTGAAACAGGATAATAAAGAATCCTCATCAGCAACAAAAGGCATGTCAACCGCATGTCCGGAAAAAAGTCTAAATTTCTATGTTCTAAAATTTATAGAAAGCAAAAGAAAACCACCTAGGGCCTCAGCAGCTCAGACAAGCAGGGAAAGGACAAAAAAAGGAAAGCAACTTCAAGCTATGATCAAAAGATTCACTTTAAAGAATCAGTAATCAAAGGTCTTCAGAAATCTACTTTGCTTACTTAATAATATTGAAACTATCTCCACAACCCCACCAAGAGATAATTAGTATCAAGCGAGGTCTTACAGGCTACAAGCATAAACAAATCTTATGGAGTTTAATGGCAAATTCATATTACGAGAATAGCACAATCTAATTATTTTCAATACTTTCACAAAACAGTATCCTAAATTCGAGGGTTTATTCACAGAAACCTCGTATTTCAAGCGTTCCCACCGTGAGAAAAAGAGAGAGAAAATGACAATTTGAACTGGAAATGATTAGCTGAAGCAAAGCTACCTTTTCATGACTAGGTGGATCTTGACTTATGATGGCTTTAATTGACATCACTGCTTGGATCAGAATTCCAGCTTCCTCATCCAAAGCATTATTCTCACTCGTCAAAAATTCTGCGATTTATTAATAAATTCAATGATCTTGTTCCAGAGTTTAATGATTAAAAAAATAGAGAGCCTAAAAAAGCTCACCCATTTTGGTAAGTGACAAGAGGCCTTCCAAACATATATTAGAAAGTTTTGGGAGACGTTGAGCACATAAACCAATAGCAGCAACTGTATCAGCGGCAAATCTTCTGTCTGGATCTTTAATGTAATCCTATCAACAAGAAATTGACAGTTAACAGGATATACAATGAGAAAAGCCACTACCATAAAGACTCTTAACTTTAAACTAAGAGATTTATTAAGGAAAGAACAATATTAACTTTCAAGCTAAAATATAGAGAAGCTACTACATGCAGTCTACTGTGTACACCACTTGGGTCCAGGTTTCATGATCAGTAGAGAATCAAATGCCAAACAAAGACAATTCTCCTAATTGACTTTTCTGACCTCAAAAAAAACCATAGTTAACCAACACGAGTATTAAGTTCCAGAATTGTCAAAAACTTAAGGCTACTTTCAGTTTTCAATTGTTCAGGATCAACAACAAAATATCAATCCATATAAAACATAAAATTAGCTTCTACACAAATTTTAGGGCATATACGAAATTAAATTAGCTTCTGCACAGGTAGCAATATTTCTGAAGGGGGGTCTGCATATAATTACTTGGTTCTACACATAGGTAGACAGGCAAGAAGAGCCTCCCATTCTAGGCTTATTCTTTTTTCCTGAACATAGGTTAGATTTGTCTCAATGTTAAGTTCAAGATAATAACTTCCATTTTTATAATCCGTTTTTATTGGTATTGATGGCTTGATGCTCACATGTATGCATTAAAAATTGTGCAAAAAGCAAACAATAACAACTTACAGAAATGGAGGGAGTATGTCTCAAGCAACTACAGTGGTTATTACCTCAACATGAATAAAACATCAATTTGAGAGTACTGTCCTACTGAGGAACAAGTAGCATAATAATTAAAAGTTGGGAAACAACATCAGCGCATCACATTATTATAGCTACCCTTACATAGTGAAAATAAAGATGTTCATAAAAAGGGAAAGAGAGAAAGAGATGAGTACCTGGAATTCTTGAAAAATGCAAGGAATTGAAGAATCCGTAGCAATCAAAGAGAGAATATCAAGCTTTAGAGCTTTTATCTGGTATGTTTCTGAAGTTGATATGAAGAAATCTTCATAATAGTCAGCAAAAAGTGAAGGCATGACTTTAGCAAAAACTTGAATATTACAGAGAACCTAAACAAGCCAAGCAAATGGAAAAATCAGTGGCATCTTCTCAATGCACCACACAAGTAAAGAAACTCTACAAATTAATTTCATGACCACATCTAGCCGGAGAAACATAAAAAATAATAATTTAAAAAAATAAATAAAAAAAAAAAAAAATCCATTTCTAATCTGATATGCTCCAGAGACTTTAAAGAAGATACAAGCCTGACTGAGATCAAAATTATCACCAAAGAAATACTGCAGCAAGATTACCACATTAAAGATGAGGTAACATAATTGCATAAGACAGATCAATTGCTTAACAAAAGGTTTTTTCCTGAAAATGTTGTCCTGTGGGAGAGCAAATGTAAATGCAAGTAGGCAACAGCAGGTGATTGGACATATTTTACAAAAGCAGATAATGACAACAGTGACTCTAGGACATATTGCAGAAACAATTGAGAGTAAAAAGAATAAGAGTAGAGAAACCAACCACATATTTTGAAGCGCGTGATGATCTTAATACAAACAACAATGGTTTTACTATTTTGTTTACACTATCCTTCGGTGCCATGATCCAGTGCACTCCAGCAGCTGCAAGTAATACAGCACTGTTCTGACTCCATAGAAGGGGTGATGTACACTTCAGAAGCATCTTCAGGTCATCATTTGTTTCAGCAGAAGTAAGGGATACATCATCTATGTTGGAAAGCCTCCTTTTATCTGAACTCGATCGTGATAGGTATTCATCAGAACCTTCAGTGTACGACCTGGCAACCAAGTCCACTAACTCTGGCTGACAGCTTCCATGGCCTAAGTCATGGCTGTCTTGTAAGTGAATGTCTGCATTTGGACCAACCTTCTCACAGCTGTTAGTTCCAGTAACACAGGGAGAATACAGCACAGATTCTTTTGCAAGGCCATGCCTTGCAATCACATAGCGCAACAGAATTCCAATCAAGATTATTTGACCCCATTCTTCTACATCAGGGAGAATCTCACAGAGTCTTTTATAATTTCTTGCTATAAGAGGCAAGTTACTTGGACATATTGAATTAAATGAAGCAGCAGCAGCTCCAACTACTCCAGGTGAATGATCATTCAGTAATATACCAATAATCTGCAGAAAAAACACTCATTACATAAGTATAAATAAACAGCCAAATAAGTTAACAGAGCTGCTTTACAAGGATAACTAAAGAGTAAGACGGGGTGGCAAATTTGTTTGACACAGAGTGTGAAAGTGGAATCTCTACATGAAAAAGATTTATAAGGAAAAAAAATAAGAGAGAGAGAGAGATAGACACTTGAGAGGCCGAAACTGTAGATGGGGTGTCCAATTCCAAGAGTATGAATTCAGACTGTAAGAAAGTACTCAAAAAAAATTTGGTGGAACTGGGCTAGGATCTTTCCCTACAAGCATGTCAAAGACATATTGCGACATATAATCCAGATTACCAAACATGAGTATCTACACATCATATTATGGCTGTCATATAATATACCTCTTCAATTGCAGAAGCATTTTCCTCAAGCCGCAAATCATTCAATTTCGGAAGAGCATTGGCTGCACATCTCCTAACATAGACAGATGGATCTCTGGCACATTTGTTTATAGCAGCTAAAACAAGAGGTGCAATTACATGTAGACGGATGCCTGCCATGGTACGGAGAGCCCATGCACGTACCAAAGGGTTGGTATCCCCTAAGTCCTTCTGGAAACAATTAATTGATAATAATGCTTCATTTGGTCGCCTGGAAGACAATTGCCAGGATATATCAATAAGTATGAGAGGAAGAGTACAAGTTTAAGGAAATGATTAACCCAGTAACCTTATGATATCTATCCTTAAATCTACATTGCTACAGAAGACATCCTAAACCAAGTACAAAAGATTGTGTTCCTACGGCTGGTAAATGGAGCTGTGGGTCAATAAAGATATATACAAGAAGTACGACAAAGCACACCAGATTTATATGTGGAAAGTGGGGGAATACTACTAATCCAGCATATGGAAAATATTACAACCTAACTTTCATAAACTAGTAGCTCAAGGTATACTCTTATCATGCATTTAAGCTTTCCAACTTAACCATAGTCACACACACACCTTGAATCTCTCACAAGTAGACAAAAACTTGCAAGTTGCAAATCTTGCTCACACATTGCAGCACTCTTTATAAGCACAACTAAGAGACTTCTCTAGTAGTCATGACACTAATTGGACATTATTATCTTCTTTGTCTCCACTAAACACTGTCACCCCATCTCCATAGAATTCAGTTTCACACATTCTTGAGTTGGTTATCTCTCATAGACTCACCAAGGCTTAGCAAGTGGTTCCCGAACAATGCAGAGTTCACAGTCCACAGGCTCCACACTTCAACCATGTCTTGAATTCCCTTGAGACAAGTTTATTGATGGGCTCTTGGTCACCAATTTAGTATGCCTAATAAAGCAATGAACTTCATATATTCAAGATTCATAAACCAAGCTCTTGACACTCACATTTAAATTGTTTCAAATTTTGGAGTTACAGCCCACATAAGAATTTAACAAGTTGCAATTTTCCAGGCTCCCAAGGGGAATGAGGAAAAGGGAGCATATATCAATAATGATTGGAAGAACAGCTGGCAGTGGACAATATTCTGTACTATAAGAGTTCATTTTTAAAGACTAATTACAGTTCACTTAACATAGCCTGAGTACTGAGTAGGCAATAGGAGACAGTATATCTCTTAATCTTACTCGACACTATAACCCCTCTGTTCCAAATTTTTGCAATTACCTTAGGCATGAAGATTAAACATTGTGGATAAGAAAGAAAAGGTATGAGAGTGTGGGACTGGAGAAAGAAAAAGTCAACTTGTAAAAACAAGCATGTTATATAATATGAGACGGAGGGAGTGCAGGCTTAGTACCTCATTGAACTACTACAAATATTTGTCTAATCCACACCCATCAAAAAGACAAAAATAAGAGAAACACATATGCTACCGATAGTTCAACCTAGCACTCTAACAAGTTGAGAGGTGAAGATAACTAAAGAAGATTCCTATCAATGAGTTAAAGCAGCCTTTAACTAAACCATCTGATAGACATTGCGGCTTCATATTACAAAGCCTAGTGCACGAACCACAAAAATAGGTAACTGTCCATATACTTAAACAAGATAGGGGATTTAGTTTTGAATACTTCTCATTGTTTCCTAATTTATTAACAAGAAGCTGTGGGAATCTATAGACTATAGTTACTATGTTTGCTCAAAAGAAAGCAGTCCTCTTGTTTCCTAAACTCTTGGAGATGAGGATTTAAATGTCCTTTATCAATAAAATATAAGATATGAGCAAAGTTAGAAATGAAAAGTTCTCACCCAATAACTCAGTTTTGCATTAAAACTTGATTAAATTATTACACTCATCTAATCTTTTCACCTTTGTTGAGAAGCAACTGTTAAACATAATTCATCTAGAAGAATGCTATAAGTATTAATCAACAGTCAAGGTGAGTCAACAGCATGTAAAAATGTTGACATAGTGCATCTAATACATAACCTTTAACTCCCTAGTAACCTAAGACTACTAGTTGCAGTCCCCTAGTAACCTAAGAGGCTAAGACTACAAGTTGCTGTCCCTTACAAAACACAGTGCCAGTTCTGTATTCCACTGACATGAATGCAATAATCAAGAGAGAAAGGGATAATGCTTAAATAGATAACTCTAAATGGACTTTGCCACGGGATGTAGGAACATTAGTTATTCCTTAATGAAGCATACTTTTCAGCGTAATGCAGCAGGTATACATAAACCAGCTTCTTCACTTCCAATGAATGTGATGCTACATTCTTCACAACCTGTACACAAAACAAACACAAGCATGTCCTAATAAATATAACTGAACATTAGGTCATATGAAATCTTTCAGCAAAACATGCTTCCTCGAGAACCAAAAGGAGGGGCACAACATGATTAATATAGTTCCAACATGAACCCCAGGTAACCCTTTCCAGTGAATCAGGATCTTGGCAATGATGTAGTCCTCACAACCCAGTTTGACAAAAGCCATTTCAAGTAAACAATGCTACATTTAGTTTAACAGACAGCAGATTAAGCAGCTAAACCCACCCTGACAGTAGTAACTACTGAAGACACTAATTTCATTTAACATGTTGAAATTATACATACGGCCTTACAATAAAAAAATAACTGTAACTCTACAACCCTGACTGAAATTCATTCAAAACCAAATTAGCAAACAAGTCCACTAGGCTCTACATTTGCTTACAACATAACAACAGCATCTACATCAATATCAACAATGTAGGACCAATTCGCTGTTACAGTAAAACAGACAATGCGTATCGAAACAAATTATGGAGTATGATCGGCATTCAAGCTAATTCTTCTTCTAGTAATAGATCAGTCAATTCATCCAATACAATTCAAACACGAGCAAAAATAATATCCATTTAATCTAATTCTTCTTCTCGTATTAGATTGAGCTTACGGAAACTAGCATTAATCACTCAAATCCAATCTCAACTTCAAACTAAGCTCAATCAACACAAAATTTATGCAATAACATCAACTTAAACTGGAAATTCAACCTGAGGGAAGAAATTGGAGACATCAAAGCCTTGAGCAATGAGAGCAAGAAGACGTTTAAGCGCTTCGCACTTTTCTGAGTCGAATTTGCTGTCGAGAAGAGGAGCGATGCTGACATCTTCGGGATCATCGTAGAGGTGAGCGTCGGTACCGATCCGAAACACCATTGTCGACGCTTTGCTGAACGATTCGGCGGTTGCTCCGAATTGCGGGAACATATCTCTGCAATTGATCGATTTTTGAGTGATTTCTAGGGTTCTTGAATTTTGGTAGTGATTTTTCAGAGAAAAGGGGGAGAAATGGCGGGGGAGGAGGGAGATTGAAGAATGAACTGGCTTTTTTAGAACGTGATAACCCGGCCTGCAACGGTTTGATCAGTAGATAGTAGTGAATAGTGATGAATAAGGCAATTGTGGTTTTAGAAAGGCTAACGAGAAGGCTTATTGCTCGTGTTATGGCTCGCGTCAACTTCCTTGATTATTTAGACAATGTTGACATGTCGTAGTGATCTTGGGATTTTTCTTCTCCATGAATGAAAATCTACCTATTGATTCAAAATATTAAGAATAAATTATCAAATTAATGACTGATATTATACCCAATTGGACATTTGAGCTTCATATTTTATTGAGCATAAAAAACTCATCTAAAGTGTTGTGTTAAAAATGATAAATATTACAAGACATAAACGCACCATTTTCTCTCTCCTCTCTCCTCTTTTAGGGTTTTAATTTTTTTTTGGCCATTTAATCCGGAAATAGTATAATTTCTTCAAAAATTAGACTATTTTCGACCCTTTTTCTTAATTTAATTTAGGTGTTTTTCTTTATTTTCTTTTTGCTTTGTTTTGTTCACTTACTAGATTAGTACTTGCGCGTTGCACGGTGGTGATAAGTAATTAATCCATATTTTTTTTATATCTTTTGTTGTTGATAACTTTTTAATATTTTTTTTTTGTATAAAGTTGTTTTTTATAAATATAAGAAAACATGTACATAATCCTTATTTTAATTGGTTTTTTTTTTTTATGCTACATCATAATATTTACTATGTTATTGAAAATTTATGAAAATGATGGTTAGACAAAATATATTTAATGTTGCATTATCTATTAAGCTTATACGTTTAGAGTGGAAGTTAAAGAAACCGTATCTATATTTATTAAATATTGTTGTATTAAGAATATCCAAAATTAATACGGAGTATACAACAATATTGATACAAAATTCAAGTTTCAGATTTTTAGTTTCATACCTACTTTGTCCTAATTTCTAACAAGTAAAATGTAAGGGCAAAAAAAAAATAATTAGAATTGATGACATCATATTGAAGCTTGGAGGGAAAATTTTTAATAAGAGCTTGACACATAAGACACTTTAAGGAATTGATGACATTAGCATGTTTTGTTTTAGTAGCAGTTAATAGATTTGTGAGAGTATGTCCCAATTTTATAGGGTTTTTTTCCAATTTTATGGGATTTTGATTCTCATCTATGGATAAAAAATTTATTTTTAGGTTTTTAATAATTGGAAAGGTGATTTGAATTCGTATGGATTTAGGGTTTGTCATCAACTTTACAATCATAACATTAGCGCAAATTGATAAGGTCTCTACTTGAAAAGATGCGAAAACATCGAAAATCACTGTTCGCGTCAAGTTTGAAGCAGTGGAGTGTAAGCTATGCCAAATATGCAAACTAGTTATGATTTTGATTCTAAAAGTTATGTTATTTTCTCTAAATCCGTTGTTTACAGATTAATGTTATTATTGTAGATGTCATATCACTATTCATTAATGATAATATTTTCTTCCTGTAAAAAAAAAATCACTGCATAAAACATATTAAAAAAAATAAATAAAAAAAAAACTTAAAAAAAAAACACACACACCAAATAAGAAGTTGCAATGAGAAAGTTAAAAAGTATATTAGATGTCTTTTAAAAGTTGTGTGTTTATAAGGTTGAACGAGAATTTAAATATGTAAAACTATGTTTAGTTTTTTTTTTTAGGGAAAAAACTATGTTTAGACTTAAAATCAATAAAGCATGTTCCAAGATAACACACTCATATTAGGTCCCGTTCAGTTCACCTTAAAAAAGTAATATTAAGTAAAAATAATTTCAATTCAATAAAATTAATTTTAGTTTAGTAAAAATAAGTTCAGTTCAGTAAAAATAAGTTCAATTCTGTAAAATTCAGTAACTATAAAAAAGAAATATACTTCGTAATAGAAAATCAGTAAAAATAATTTTAGTTCAGCAAAAATAATTTTAGTTTAGTAAAAATAATTCCAATTGAACAAAAATAAGGTGAAGTGAACAGGACCTTACTTTAAAAAAAAATAAAATTGTCTCGACATTATGTGAATATAATATTGAGGTGCAGCCACATACTAAAACCATTAAACATTTGGTTTTCCACTTAGCCAAAAATGGCATCATGATGTATTTAAAACGAGGTGAGATTGTAACCAATTGACCACCCGTTCTTGATTGATTCGGTGCGATAGTCTAGTAAAATACACGAAAATTGATTAAAAGATAAACGATAGATCTAGAAAGGCAATTGTGGTGCATGCTTGCATGGGTTACGTGTGCAAGCATCTTGTTATGGATTACATGTGCAAGCATCTCGTTTTTATGTCCCACCCGCGCATCTTTGTATAGATATATTTGATTGGTTTGCCAACCAAATTAGTTTGATAGAGTGAATTGACTTAGCAAAACAAATTTTCATTTCTTACTCCAGCGGTTATACATATCACTAGAAAGTTTGATAAGTTTACAAGCAAGTCCTACCTTACGCCGTCGGAGTTTCTCAAGAATTCTAATACTAATCCAAGGAACTATACACCCAATGCTAAAAAACATTTATAACTCCATATATACAAATTATGGTTCTTTCGTTTTCTTAATTGCACAATTTTCATATTACATTATAACCCTCTTTTAGAAATGAGGGGAGTAATATTTTAGTAGCATTAATGCATAATTATACAAAGTACTCCGTACTATGTAGAGGTGTTAATTCGGGTGTCCGGATCAGACTCGATGAAGTCGGGTCGAGACATGTCTATTTTTAAACTTGACTCATACTTAATTATTGCGTTTACGCGAGTCAAAATATAAATAGGATATTTTTCAAGTCGATTTCGAATTGAATCGAATCGGGTATGATTTTGAAACCTCTCTTAAACATGTTAAATGTGTGGCCCACATTGCAGTATTGCACAATTGTATCGTCCTCCTTGTGAAAACCTTGAAATAAGAGTAGTTTACCAAATCTGACTTGGCACCGTACTCGCTCAAAACAGCGCGTTTTCCCCCATAAAACGGCATCCCCAAAATCAACTTTTAACTTTTTTTCAACGTTTTGTCATTTTTATCAGTGTCACCTTTCACTGCTTTCAGTAACCCACTCTCTTCCCCAAAACCTCCCCAAACTCTCTAAATCGTCTTCAATTTTTTCCCAGATTTTCTCTGATTACGAATCTCTATTTATTTAGCTCGCAAATCTCAATTTTCTTCTCTTTCTCTCTCCTATTTACTTCAGAATTTCTCAATTTCCAGCTTTGTTGTTGGTTGTTGGCGATTACCCAGCATTGTGCATGGTTGAAGGATTTCCGAAATTTTGAGTAAAATTTGAGGTATTTAGCTGTTATTCCAATTTCTGGGTATGATTTTGAAGGGGGGTTTTGTTTGTTCTGTTTGTTAGATTTTAAGTATGTAAGGATTGGAATCTTTGAATTTGACAGTTTTTGGGGGTTTTATTTTAAATGTTTGTAACTAGGGTTTTAACATTGGAACTGAAATGTAGCTTCCTAAAAACCTAAATATGTTGATTCATTGTATGGTTAGCAATTTTTTTTTTTTTTTTTTGTTATTTGTTGATGTAGGTGTGAATTGTTGTTTTGATTTGTTGGATAAATTATTTATTTAAATCCTGGTTTAGTTGAAGTTTGATGGAAAAATTGTGTATAATATTTGGTTGTTTGTTGTTTACTGACTAAATGTACATAGGTAGTTTGCTGGATAGGTTTCGATACAATATTAGACGCTATATGCTGAGGTTTTGGTTAAGGGTTTTCTGATGTGTAGTGTATTCAAAAGAATCGAAACGATATTCGACTCTAAAGGGTGGGAGGGAGGGGGGGGGGTTTGTTTTACAATAATAGGAAAAGAGAAATATCTTCTTATTGCTTCAATTGGGTGGTTTTGGTTTAAACTGGAGGTGCTAATGTAATGAGTACCTTTCTGTTTTGTTGTTTCTAAGTTCTGAAATATGCATGTATCGTATTTACAGGCTTGTTGAGTTTGTGCTGTGATTGCGAAGAGGTGAGGATTTCATGGCTCATAGCTCTGAAGAGGAGGATACTGACATTAGTGAATCTGAAATAGAAGAGTATGGAGACAAAACATTCGAAGAGCTTAAGAAGGGAAGTTCCAAGCTGAAAGTCTCAGAAGAAAAGTATACCTGTCCATACTGCCCGGGGAAAAGGAAGCGGGACTTTCTCTACAAAGAATTGCTTCAACATGCTTCAGGGATTGGAAATGCAAGTTCAAATAAAAAAAGGGCAAGGGAGAAGGCAAATCACCTTGGGCTTGCTAAATTTTTGGAAGATGAAGTGCAAAGTCAAGCTAGCTCGTCGAAACAGGCTAATGGTGATGCTGCTGTAGTTGATTGTGACCATGATGACAAGTTTGTATGGCCTTGGACAGGAATAGTGGTGAATATTCCTACTCGATACAGAGAGGGCCGGTTTGTAGGGGAAAGTGGTTCAAAGTTGAGGGATGAGTTGAGAGCTAGAGGGTTCAACCCCAAGAGAGTCCATCCCTTGTGGAACTTTAGAGGCCATTCTGGTACTGCTGCAGTGGAATTCAACAAAGATTGGCTGGGTTTGAACAATGCATTGGCATTTGAGAAAGAATATGAACTAAATCAACATGGAAAACAGCATTGGCAAGCAAAAGATACTGAAAAGTTTGGGCTGTACGCCTGGGTTGCTCGTGCTGATGATTATGATTCACCTGGGATTATTGGGGAGCATCTGCGGAAGATTGGAGACGTGAAAACAGTGTCTGAGCTTGAAGCAGAAATAGCTCGAAAGGCTGGCAAGCTTGTCTCAAACCTGACAACCGTGCTTGAATCTAAGAAGAAGAGTTTGAAGGAAATAGAGACAAAATTTACTGAGACTTCCCATAACTTCAACAAGCTGGCAGAAGAGAAAGACAAGCTTCATCAGGCATATAATGAAGGTACTAATTATTACTACATTCTTGTGTATGCACCATGGTTTTGAGTGCTATTCTAATTTTTTACCTTCACATTTAAAGTTATACTTTGTGCACTATGAATCTTATTAGAGATGTTAAGTGAAAGTGTGTAACCATAGCTGTTTGAGACTCTTGTGATCATCTCCTTCTGGGAGAAATATTCATATGGAGCAGGTATTTTCCTTTTTACAGTACTTTCATTGCATTGTCTGGGATTCTTGTTCAAACATTTGATTTGAATGTTTCTTAGCTAGAAGCTGTTAACTGTTCTCTGCTGATAAAGGATCTGGCTTATTGTTTGACTCTAATCACTCTATTCAGAAGCTTCAATATTGGTCTAAGTGCTAGCTATGACCTTAGAATACTACAGAATTACTGGATGATCAGTGAGTTAACATTCTGTTGTCCTAGCTCTCTCAAATGGGTGTATAGAGCATCATAGTTTCTTTTCAACTTAGTCTAGTCTCTGATGTGTTCATTTTGTGATGCTTTTCTCTATGTGTATTCATTGGGGTTTGTCTTAATCAGAGATTAAGAAGATTCAGCTGAGTGCTCGAGATCATTTTCAAAAGATCTTTAATGACCATTCCAAGCTTAAGCAGCAACTAGAATCTGAGAAAACAGAGCTAGATCTCCGTGTGCACGAGTTAGAGAAGCGTGAAGCAAATAATGAAACTGAAAGAAAAAAACTCCAAGAGGAGATTGAAAAGGTATAATTTTTGAGCACTTACATGTTCTGGGATTTATTGAATTTCTAATGGTAGTGCTTTAATATGTTTGATTATTCCTTTCATAGCTATCTGAATTTATTACTCAGAATTCTACAAGAAATCTGATATAAATTTTATCAAATAAATTGCGTTATAGTGCCTCTTAGCAATTGTTCACGATTTCTGCGTAAGACCTTGATATGTTGATTTGTTCTCTGTTTAGAATGCTGTGAAAAACGACTCACTTCAACATGCATCAATCGTGCAACAAAAGGCTGATGAGAATGTGCTGAAGTTGGCTGAAGAGCAGAAGGTTGGTGACTGTTCTGACTTTCGAGTGCTGTATGACAGTGTTACTTTGCAAATTTATGATTTGTGACACAACATTGTGTTAAAATTGAAACCAAATTCTTTGTCTTGATAACAGAAACAAAAGGAGGATCTACACAAGCGGATTTTGCAACTTCAAAATCAGCTGGAGGCGAAGCAAGCACTTGAGCTGGAAATTGAGCAACTAAGAGGGAAATTAAATGTGATGAAGCACGTGGGTGATGAAGGAGACATGGAGGTAATACAAAAGGTAGACTCAATGCTCAAAGATCTGCGAGAAAAAGAAGAAAGCCTAGAGGAGGTGGAGTCTTTGAATCAAACTCTTGTTGTGACTGAACGCATGAGCAATGAGGAGCTCCAGGATGCTCGTAAGGAATTGATAAATGTATGCATTAAGAGCTACAATTTAGATTCTGCACTGGTCACATTTTCTTGTGTCTTGCCTATCCTTTTCACACTCCCAAATCCTAACACTGCTTACTTGAATACAAGGGTTTGAAAGAGATGTCAAATCGTGGCTTTATTGGTGTCAAAAGAATGGGAGAACTAGATAGTACAGTTTTCCAGGAAGCTTGCAAGAGAAAATATCCTGAAGACATAGCTGAAGACAAAGCTGCAGAGTTCTGTTCTTTGTGGGATGAATATCTCCGGGATCCTGAATGGCATCCTTTTAAGGTGGTTCGGGTTAATGGTGAGCATAAGGTATGTGTTTAATAGTTTTGTCTTCATGTTATATATTAAAGATTTATAGCTTCAGTGGTGTGATTTTTTGTCTTCTCATCATGATTTATACTATAGCTATGTATCATCATCTGCATAAAGCTTGCAATGCTGTTTTCATATGAGGAGTTAAAGATATGTCTTTTGCGTTTTTTTAAGCTGTGTTGGGTTCGGATTCTCTGTGTCCAAGCGGTTGCTGTCTTGCTGAGATTATTAGCTGTGGCCTGTGGGTGATATTGTTCTCTTTGCCTCTCAAAAGTTGAAACTTCTTTTTTTGTGGGAATGGATTAATTGGTGGAGATGCTTTGCATATATTAATTAAAATTTAAAATTTTATTTTTAAGTATAAATGGATGAAGTTTGCTTTAATTTGCATTCACAGAAGTCAGCTTATTATATACTGAGTTTTCCTTTCACAGGAAGTAATAGATGTTACTGATGAGAAGCTGATAGATCTGAAGAGAGAGTGGGGTGATGATGTTTACGATGCTGTTACAACTGCATTGAAGGAAATTAATGAGTACAACCCAAGTGGTCGATACATTATTACTGAATTATGGAATAACAAAGAAGGCCGGAAAGCTACATTACAGGAAGGAGTATCATATATATTGAACAAATGGAAGGATTACAAGAGGTTTAGGGGTTGAACTCCAGGTTAGTATATGCAACTCTTGCATTTGTTCACGGAATTTAGGTCAAATGGTTTGAAATTTTCGAGTAATATTCCTCCCTACTGAATTGTTTGTCCTCTTTAAAATAGTGATTCACACAATACAAAGGGACAAGAAATTTACCTCTGTGTGTGTGTTTCTTATCAAATCCTTAATGCGTTATCCCAACAATATCCTCTGAATGGAATCACTGCTCCTAAGATGACTTTGAGCAGTAGTTTTGGACCATGAAGTTGATGCATTTTTTTGCATCAATGATGAATTTTCTGCTTCTGTAAAGCACCATTGTAAGTAAAGTTACGTGAGAGAATTGAGACCAAATGATCTTCGTGTTTGAGGAACTTTGCTTAATGAGAGTAAACTGCGAGTATTTTTTTTCTCCATTCCACAATCATGTTTAACATATTTTCATTTAAGATGTCCCTCTTATTACATTATCTTTTTTTTTTTTTTTTTTTTGAAAGTTTTCCCTCTTTTCCCCCCCTCTAAAGTAAGGCCCCACTCCCAATTGTATCTCTATACTTTTCACTCAATTCTGTGCAAAAACATATGTTAATTGTGAGGTGGAGGCAGTATCACTAATAATCTAATTGTTTTTTTGATTGACATCCAAATCTTTTAATCATAGTATGCCTTTTATATGGGTTCTCAGGTGCTGTTTATTGTAGTTTTCGTTGCTTTCTGAGAATAATTAGCCCCACAACTCCACAAGTTTTCTGTTATACTTATGATCTTATGCTTCAGCTGTCAAATTTGGTGCAGAAAATTATTTCATGGTGTATATCTTGTTGGACTGATGCAGTTATGAAAATATGAAATTGGTATGAAATGGTTACCATAATATTTGAAATCTCTCTTGAAAATTATATTTGTGAACGCCTATTGTATGATAAACTCACCTAAAAACAATTGTGCTGATTCGATGCAGGGTAAAGCATGCAAAACATTGGGCGTGACAGCTTCACATGCAGGAGGCATTTCGGCAAGCGGAAATGTTTTCCATTAATAATATGTATTGAAACAACAATTTTTATCCCCCTCACCCCTGTAAACCAGGCACCAGTTTCATTCTATGTTGGTGGCCTGGAATACAGACATTTATTATGGTGCAGTTAGCCTAGAAAAATTGCTCTAAGGGTATGGAACTTTAGACCATATCATTTCCTGTTTGGACCGTGATGATTTGTCTGTACCAGAAAACTGGCTATTAGTCTGTTCGATGATAAAATTTGCAATGTGATGCTGTCTTATTTCATCCTAATGCATTTATGTCTTGGCTAAAAATCTCAAGATGCATTTAGCCGAAATGCTTGTTTGTTAGATAGAGCAAGTGAGCAACCGCATGGCCCTTCATAAGTTATTCAATCTGGAGCCACGTTAAAGCTAAACTACGTGGCTGTTAAGGTCATGCTCGGTTTGTTTCAGTTTAGACTCCATTAACCTGTTCCTCATTCTCTTGTGCTCTCCTTTGGTAAGAGACCTATATGTCCGACATTAATCTTTACATGCACCTCCAAAATCACCATGAAAGCTCGATTACAAGATTAGGTTTGTAGCCTGAATGTTTAAGATTGTTGTTGCTCCCTTTCTCCCTCAGGTCCTCAGCAGCTGAACTACTAACAAAATGAAACATATGCGACATTAATAGATGGGTTAAAGTATACAGAGTAAAATGACTTAATCTAAAGTCATTCCATATATACTGTTTCTTAGTACAATTTCTTACACATATTGGTCTGCCCTTTGCTACGAGTTTTCTCCAACACATATTCCCTTCGTCAAGAAATGATTATATACAAGTAATATGTAAGTGCAAAGATTAGTCCAAGACGATTAAAACACTAAATGGGAAGGATAAAAATCAGTAATAATTAACAAGTGAGATCAAGTAGCAGTAGGTTTAGTTGACCTGGTCTTAGTGGTGGTGATGGAGTCTAGGTTGGTTCGAGTGATCGTGGAGGGTTCGATACCAGCAGAGAACATTGTGTTACTGGAGGATGTGGTGGTGATTAGAGTATTTATACGAAATTTCGAAGTATTACATAGTAATTTTTTAACATAGGGATAATATGTAGTAAAAAAAATAAAATAAATAAACAAAAAAATCACTAAAGAGCGCCAATTTCACAAATGGCATCTAATTTGTTAAAGTAAGATCACACTTATTGTGTTATTACTCTTGCATATTGTCCTCTGCATTTTCTCTCTCTAACGGAACAAAGAACAAACCTTGTTTTTGGCACTTGGTATTGCTATGATCTCAATTCTTTTGTATAAGTAACTTTAATTCTATGCTAATTGTTCCTTTTATTTTTTTATTTTTTTTTTTAACAGCCACTCAGAAGATAATTATTCTTTCCAATTTGGTCAGCGTACCCATTTTTCAGCTCTAATCTTTATTTTGTTGCTACTATTATTTTCATTAATGATCATGTCAAAATTAACTCAAATTTGCAAGTTGATCATGTTCAAATTTAAATTAGTTGGCTAATGTTAATGTTTAAATTTAAATTTAAATTTGCTACTATTATTTTTATTATGTTTGTTCGTTGAATTAAAATTATGATTTTCAATAGTGGATTGTTCAGTTTTCTGTTTAGTCATTGTCCATAATCTTCATATATGTATTTGTGAAAAAGTCCTAATATGATAGAATGTGTACTTGTTATGTACAAATTTGATCACCTAATGTAGTTTCTAGGGCAACTGTAGCAATTTGTTGGTGGTTTTAGTTAATCCTAAATGAATGAAAGAAAAAGTACACTATCAATGGTTTCAGTAATGGTAAATTGTTTAATGTAGTTCTGGGGTTGGGCAGAACTATCATTATGCCTTTATTGACACTGTCGATGTGGTTGCCTGGTGGATTGCAAGTTAATTCATGCCTTTTATTTTTTCCACCTGGTCTGGTGTCCATTCTTTGATATGTAACCTTGATTTAACCCGCACCAAAGCTATTTATTGAGGTGTTTGGGGGGGGGGGGAGTGGGGTTTTTCTTGTTCTTGTACTCTTGTTTATGTGACCGTTTACTATAGTATAAAGAAATCCGCTGTTTGCTCATATTGCCATTTGAAATAGTATCAGCAAATCATAGTTGCAGCTGAGTATGACCAATCAACCAATTTGCTTAAACATGTAATATTGCTTATGTTATCTGTTGTTCTTGCTACTTTATTCGCTGTGTGTTTGGTCTGCATCTTTGCAGTGTTCTTTCAAACTTTAATTGTGTCATTACGCAGGACATTATGTTGCTGCGTAATGTTAGCAGTCATTTCTGATTAGACTTTCAAACCATGTTACAAGTTAGCCTTGCTTCAAGCTGATGTAGAAATATAATGTATGAAATTGTTGTCCTGTTAACTAGATTTAATTAGTAGTTCTGGCAGAATTCACTATGGCAGATGACAACAATCGAGAGTTAAACAGTCTGCGTCAAACTGTAGTGAGACTTGCCAATGAGTTAGATTACAAGAACCATCTATTGATGGAGAAGGAAGGTCTAAGCCTTGAAAGATTTGCTACGATGAGCTCTTTAATTGAAGAGAAAGATAGACTTCTTGGTGAGAGATCTGCTGTAATCGGCTCATTGATGGCACAAAAACATAGGCTACATGAAATTTTTGTCGAAGGTGATCAAATTTAGCAATTGGCAAAACAAATAAGTCCTCTATTCTGTAAGATGAATGACATGTGTAGTGATCATGTACTTTGCAGTATGCACAATAACATTTTTCAAAATCTTGAACGATGAGATATCTTTGTTCAATTAATTTCCCAAAAGATTTGTATCTTCACATAGCATGCTGTTAAGTGTTAATTAATGATAAAGGAAAACTGTTACTTAATTAAGTAGTAATGGCTCTTCTGTCACAAACAATTTGATTGTAGAACTGCAGCTTATATTCAACCTTTTGCTAGTTTCCCTTTTTTATAAAGGGGTTTTCCTAATCTGAAGATTATCTCGTTGTTGTCTTTCCATCTTTGAATGTCCAGAGATGCGAAAATGTGAACATTTGAAACAAGAGATGAAGAAAATCAGACATGAATTAGAAGTTCAGCAGCAGATATTGGATACTAGAACCATGGAACAGGAGGAACTTCTGACTGTTAACGGAAAGGGACTGAGGATTGTGACTACCAAATCTACAAATGCTAATACGTGTTTAAAATCTCCAAAGTTCAATCTGATTGTTCCAGAAAATCAATTAAGTGAGTCCTTTGACAAACATGACAACCTGCAAAATAATCTGGAGAAGGTAAGCGTCTATACACATGTATAAGTATGTGATGAGGAAAATGTGGTGCTGAAATCTGTAATGCAGGATATTGATTATCCCTGGTGTTGCTTCTTTGATATAGGTAGATAATTGCTAGTACTGCTACTTTCTTGACTGAGGTGTTCACATATGTTTTAGTTTATAGTAGTGTAAATTACCAGTTTACTACCTTGTTTTTGTGAATTTTATTTCTCCTCACCTTCAACTGTGTTTATAATCACGTCTTCCGTCCTATCTTATTACTTCTGTTTAGAAATCTTTTTCTCTGGTTTGATGATGAACATGGAAGATTAGCCTAATTGAATGTGTATAATTCTCAGTTGCAACACTTGCAGTCACAGAATGAATATCTGAAAGCTCAGCTAGATTTTTTGAGGAAAGAACTTAACGAGAAAGGTGAAGCATTGAATCAACTTGAAAGCCTTAATCAAAATCTTACATCGAATAAGTCTTCAAGCAACAAAGAGCTGAAAGCTGCAAGAACAGAAGCCATCAAAGTATAGTAACTTTTCTTTCTTCTACCTCTGTCAACCTCATCCTTTTATCTCTATCTCCCAGCATCCCTTCTATTGTCTTTGTAAAAACATAATTCACTGATCCATATCAAGATATGAGAAGGGTGTTCCATAAATGCAATTCCACTTTCTCGAAAAAAAAACCTATCTAAAGAAGAAGTGGATTATCATTAATTTTTAACATGCATTTTTTTTTAATCTCAAACAGTGTTTCCTAACTATGGAAGGCAATGGAACAAAAATTGGGATAAAGAGAATAGGGAAGATTGATCCACAACCTTTCCGAGATGTATGCTTTAAGAAATTTTGCAGCTTAAGCTGGGAGGAAAAATTCAATGAATTATATTCTTTATGGCAAGAAAATGTTAATGATTCTAGCTGGAATCCCTTCAAGAAAGACATCAACCGCGGGGAATTGAGTGTATGTCTGTATGAATCTCAGTTGCTAATTGTGACTTTGTGCTTGCTCAGAAGCTTATATCATGGTTATTATGTCTTCAGTCCTGTTCTGTAAGAACAAAAATAGAAAATCAATGTCAGTAGATGATTATTTGCTTAAAATTCTACCAACCATATGATTCTTATTTGGAAGATGCAGGAGGTTGCTGATGAAAATGACAAGAAACTCGCAGAGTTAAGAGAAGATTGGGGTGAAAAAGCATACAAAGCTGTTGTTAATGCACTACTGGATTTTAGAATATACAACTCCAATGTGAAGTCTTCTATGCATGAAATTTGGAACTTTGAAGAGGGAAGAAGGGCTGACTTGAAAGAATTTATTCAGTACATGATCCAGTGCTGGGAAGTTCAACGAAAAAAAGGCAATGAACAGTCTGGAGCAATTGCTGAGCTGATGGCAGAGAAAGAGAGACTACTTGGACAATTGGCAAGTATCAATATTCTAATGAAGGAGAAGGACAAGCTTCTCAAAGAAAAATATGCAGCAGTTGAAAAATCGATAGCGCAGGACATGGAGAAAGATAAACTACAGAACAAAATGTCTGCAACTATCAGCAAATTACATGCAGAGAACCAAATATTACTTGAATCTTATAATGCAGGTTGTTATTCTGAGAATATGATGCCATTTAGATTAGCCATGAAGTTAATTGACACTAATGACTAAACAAAACCAAGTTTCTGGTCATTTTAGCCTCTAAAAGTTGTCATCTCATCCTTTTTTTTTGGTGGCATTCCAATGTTTTGCTAGACCATAAGGATTTGGCAGTCTACCTTGGACCACATCACAGTTCCATCTTTATTTTTTTCCTTTTTGTTTTGGTTTAGAGTGGATGGGAGAGGGGAGATGGGAGGAAGGACTTGTCTCTCTTTTTTTTTTTTTTTAATTCGTCTGACATTCTTTGATTTTTTGTAGAAAAGAGTAAGACTCAATGCATGGTGGAACCGACTGAAAAGTTTAAGCATGAGTTGCAAGATCAAGAGGAGCTGGCAAAGCAAACAGAGGAGCGCAGGGAGACAAAACGTCTCAACTGTGGGAGTAATGAAAGCTTAAAAATCAAGGAGGAAAGTACTGCTTGGTATCTGGATTATTTGGTAGATAAAGGTGGACCTGCAAAAAAGTTAAAGGACGCCAAACTTCATAATTCCAAAGGGAAAATTTTCTCAGCATCAGAAAATAAAACGGTAAATATTCTTACCTTGTATCATGCTTGCATGGGAAATCTTTATGCCTACCATCTTATGAGAAGCCTAAGTTACTCTTTACGAACGAGAGACATTACAATCTGATGTTTAAGGCTTGTGCTTTATGACTGTGTTTGTATTTTGGTCCTTCTGAAACAATCTTTCTACTTGTCAGAAAGAGGTTTCATACATCATAACCTTCTTGTATCTTTCTTGTAGCCTGATGAATTCCTCTCTGGTTGATGGTGCTGTTTATGCCTATAAATCTTGCTTATTCGTCATGACTTGGTGTTGTTTAGACTTTGAAGGTCTAACTGCTTATTCAGTTTAACTTCATAGAATATTTTTTTGTATGGACGAGTAATGCTATTCTAGTTTAGGAAACAGCATGTTAGTTTGGCAGCCTATTTCTTCCTATGTAGGTCAACCAGTTACAATTCGGTCATTATCCTTGATACTTGAGGGCTTAAAGGCTAGATCATGATCTTCTCGTTCTGTTGGACTTCACAATTTTTCACCAGTTTATAATGCCACTGTTTTCATGTCTGCATCCAAGATTAGTGGCATCTTCCACTATTATTCTGGTTTTCGTTGCCACTCTGCCGAGAACCTGATTAGTTTTCATCAGCACAGCCATCTCTCTTGCGTTCAATTTCAGAACCTATTATTTTCTGTTTATGATAATGAAAGTTGAAGGTAATTATGTAGATTGAGAATTTTGTCAAAATCATATGTTTCTTGTTTGATTGCCTCATGCATGAACTTTATTTGTATGAATGAAGTTACAAGGTCAAAACATGGGAGAATCATTAAAGCTTCCTAAAGCTGAGCCTGACATGTTTGGGGAACCGTTGGAGGGGAGGTGGAATGTATTAGGAGTTTTACGACCAAGCACAGACTCATATCTTCTGCCCTCCAAAGATGCTGTTTCCTCTTCACCACACTCAAAGGCCCTGGAAAGAAGTAAGTGTTTATTTCTACTTGCTGCAAGAGCTTGAACAGAGAAAAGTAAATCCTTGTTATGTTGGAAATTGTTGTCTTACATGGATACGAATGAAGATTTTCAGGTAGCTTGTGTGAAAAAAGAAGATGAGAGATAGTTTAATGAAGAGAAGGGCATGTGGCTTGTATGTAATACTGATGTTCAAGTGCCGTGAGTAAAGGTTAAGGTTAAAGGCAGTTCTAGAAAGTCAGTGGAAGTTGTGACAAGATCAATATCATGCAACAATCTATTGTTGGAATAATCTGTGTAAGATTTAAGAGCTTACAGTGATTACAGTACCTGCAGAAGTATAAATCTAAACCTATTGCAGAACTTTGAAACTCAAGTTGTTTATTGAATAAATGTGTAAAACCTTGGTCAGTTTCGTATCTTTTTCATGTCTTTCTAGTTGCAACCTGCTAATTATGTCAAAATTCTGTCAACAACCTTTTTTTTTTTATTTATTTTTTTTTATTTGTTTTTGCATTGCTCTCCCTTTGGCCCTTTACTTCTCGTCTTTTATGGTCATTCGATTTAACATCCATCTTACCTTCAAAGTTCAAAATCACTAGATCATGTAAATATACGTGCTACAGAACTCAGTATAGAGTTTTTATGGACTTACGGTTTCTGTAAAGTCACATAGAGCTACTTCAATTCTGGTCCAGAATGTTCATAGGACAAGAGATTTGAGTTTGTTATTTTCAGTTACTCAAAAATTCAAGTTTGTTATTTTACTGTTGTTTCTTGTCAATCTGTTGCTTCAATTTCTTTTAACATGTAAAACTTTTGATCTGTATACTTTACTACCCGTTTAGGCTCTTACAGAAAACTCAATCATCTAAAGTATTTAAAGACTGATAAAGCTCAAGTTCTTACAATTAAGCTCGAAGTTAATAAATTTTCATCATCCTCCTCAAAACCAGATGTTGTCCTTCCTCCTGTGAACACTAGCATTCAATTGTCAAGACAATATCTTTCTATATTGGGATGTTTTCAGCTAAATATATGCTAATTTCTTCACTTATAAATATATATTTCATCTTTCATAGAATTGATAGGAACGAGAGACATTCATGAATACAGATGGGATGGGAAGGGGTGTTTTCAAATAAACATGAACTAATTTTCTGACTTATAAATATTGATTAATATCTCAGCATCGCTTTTACAATTGATACATTAAAAGTATAAATTTAACCAGACTATAAACATGTCCTATCACAAATGTAGCATTGAGATAGTTCATTCCAGTAGCATGTAAAAGGACTTGTATCAGACACACCTTTTAGATCTCTTGTACTACTAGTACAATAGGCCTTTATTGTACTATATGCTTTTCTCCTTGTACCACTTTACTTAACGCATGAGACTAAATGAATTTTAGTAATTCCTATCTGTAACATATCATATTAAGTTATACAGGTAACATTTATAAATCTGGTTTCTCTGTCTCATTTGATGATTTGAGCAGCTCGATTACCTTCTTTCTGCTGAATCATTTTCAATAGCTTAGAAGTATGAGTAGATGAATTTTGTTTTTCTATTTATTCACGTAACCAATGACATCTTTTTATGTTATCGAACTATTTCACTGAATATGCATTCCATATATGTGTTCAGTAACTTTGCTTTACCATCCGCCATAGCGATTCAAAGATTACCAGTAGTTGACCATGTATAAATGGCCCTTAACAATAGCTTGAGCACTTCCTTCAGCAAATGATATTAATCAGGACTGAAGTTCTGATCTCTTAGACTCTTACATTACTCATAAAGATATCATTTGATTTGCAGCGGCGTGTCACGTGCCGACTACTTTGCCCTAGTCACGCACCGTGCGCCACCCGCTTACAGTCCGTCGTAAGACGAGTCAGGCTTTCTCCTTGGCACTTACTCCTTGTGCCCACGTAGCACAACTCCTTGTGCTGCTAGTATAAGTTTGCTAGCACGATCCCTTTGTGCTAACAAGTCCCCTTTGGTTGAACTAAGCACTCACCCTTAGTGCCTTAGTCCGAATTTACGACTAAGTGTCGTAGACAATTGAGCACCCAAGTTATCACCCTTGCTGGTATGCCCGATCACTCACTTGGCACCCCCGTGCCTTAGTTTTCCTCACACTCTCTAAGTGTTTGAAGGAAAGAGATTGAGTTGCAAGAGAACACAAGTGCTTCTGGAATGTCTTTTGTATTACTCTCAACTTATATCTCTTAACTTGTTGATCTCCCAACTTGAATGTACAAATGAGCCTTGGAGCCTATTTATAGTGCTCCATCCTACTTACATGCTTCTCTAGAAAATTCCTAACCTCCTCAAATGGAGGGTTCTAGACTTACAACATCTAGAGTGTTCCCACCTCCTTAGGAACTACCTACATGGAGGTTTCTACATCCTTCCCTAGCTAGAACGTTCAAGACAACCCTAGAACATTCTAGAACGTACAACACTTATGCACATGGATAGAAGACCCTAGACACTTCTACTATGTACATGAAAACCCTTGAATATTCTAGAGACATTCCCTCTAGAATACTCCTTCAAAAGAACCTTGTAGATAGCTCCGAAACCTTCTAGAAGCATCTCGCGTTTTCCGGGCTACCTGCTGCACAAACGTGTATTTCAGGACCTTGTCTTGGAAAACTGACACCACCATCGTCTTCCTTGGCCCAAAATACTGTGGACCCCCGAATTTGGGCCCATTTGGACTTCATTTGGGTCTCCAAACGACCCATTATTGTGTTACTGTCAAGTGGGTGTTCACTAGGATTCTAAGCAAGGTGCCATATAAAGCTCTTTAGGGGGAAGTGCTTACCTGAGCACCAAGGCAAGCCCCCTAGCCCCGATTGTTGCCTTGCTGCCTAGTGACCCTCTTGACGTCCATCCTTGGTGTGGGAGATGACCCGTGACAGGCGGCTCTTTTTTTACACAAGGTGTACAAATGGAAATCTGCACTCAAGATGATGAGATTAAAAAATTGCGGAATCTTGTGTTGAAACTTTCCACAGAGCTAGATCACAAAAACTTCAAGTTGATGGAATTGGAAGAAAAGAACACCGAAGACATAGAAAATTGGATGATAGAGAAAGAAAAGTTGCTTGTTGAGAGGTCTGCAGCAATTAGTGTATTGGTGTCTGAGAATGTAGACAAAGATCTATTGCTTGATGAGAAGTCTGCGCGCATCATTGCTTTAACAGAAAAGAAAGAACAAATGCTTTGTGAGTCCACCAAAAGAATGAACACTTTTAAGGAAGAGACTGAGAGGCTAATTAATGAGAAATCTTCAGTCATCAACACTCTGAAGGCGCAAATTACTGACAAAGACCGGCTGCTTGTAGAGAAAGAAAGGCTTCTTGATGAGAGATTAACATGTATGAACATATTAATCGTGGAAAGAGAACTGACTTGATAACGAGAAATCTGCAGTGATCAGAACTTTAAAGATACAGAACACAGAAAAGGAGACACTCATTGAGGAGAAATCTGCATCCATTAACAAATTGATGGCAGAGAAAGAACAAGGGCTTGAAGCTTATCTAAAAGGTAAGAAATTTTTTAATAACTGTCTTTGATATGTAATTGGCATGTTTCTTATAACTGATCATTCTCTTATAATTCAAATTAATTTCAACCTATGTATGGTTGAGTGACCATCATCTGCATAGTATTGTTTTCCTTCTTAGATGTTACATCCCACATTTGATGTGTCGAGTTTCCTTCATAAACGCCACATAAGCACCAACTTTGGCTTCTAAAGTTTACAAGAAATTCAGAATGTCCTTTACTTTTCTCAACTTCACTCTGACACTGCTTTCTTCATGTACCTGATGGTTATTTTCAACACTAGTTTGCAATGTGTTGAATTCGTATCCATATATGATTCAAATTCATAAGTATTTTGCAGAATTAAAAAAGACTGAGAACATGAAGCTTGAAAATGAGAAGCTCTGGCGTGATTTGGATTCTCAAAAGGAGGAATTAGAAAGGTTGATCAAGGAGCAGAATGAATTGGTGCAAGAGGAGCTTGAGGATTCGAAGGTCCAAATCGTGGAGGAGATGAACTGTTCTACTGTAGGAGAAGCGGTAAAATTTTATATGCCTCATCTTATGTTTGGTTTATGCACTATAATGGTTGTTATATTAAGATGTCACTGTTTTTGGTTTTTTAATTTATTTTAGGAGCTGCAAATGCAAAATCTGGAAGATTTAAGAACTGAGATTCATAATTTAAGAAAAGAAATGGAGGAAAAAGTGGAGCTACTGGAGAGCTTGGAAATGGACAATCAAATTCTGATGGTGAAAGAACTAAGGAGTAACCGCGAGCTACAATTTGCTCGCAAAGCTGCTATTGAAGTACTATTAATCAAATTCTGATTTATCAAGGTCTTATTGAACTTGTTATCTATATGTGTTGTATGACCTTCCACCTCAATTTGCAGGGTTTGCTAGCCATGCAGAGACCTAGGATGAACATTGGGATCAAAAGAATGGGAGAGGTCAATCTGAAGTCTTTTAGAGATGCTTGTTCTAAAAGGTTTCACAGTGGAAATTGGGATGAGAAATTTGGACACTGGGAAGAAAAGTCCGTGGAGTTATGCTCATCGTGGCAAAGGGATATAAGTGATCCTTAGTGGCAACCTTTCAAGAAGGAGACCGTAAATGGAAAACTAACTGTAAGTCATATGATTTCCATATTAGTACAAGAAACCTGCTCCCAAAATCATTAGAAATTGTTAGAAGTTTCTTTATTTTCTCAACAGTACTTTTCCAAACTATGCAGGAAGTGATTGATGAAAATGATGAAAAATTGAGAGAGTTGAAGGAAGAATGGGGTGAGGAGGTGTACAAAGCGGTGGATGAGGCATTGGTTGAAGTGAATGAATACAATGCAAGCGGGCGTTATCCAGTACCCGAGCTTTGGAACTACAAAGAGAACAGGAAAGCCACTGTAGAAGAGGTAATTCAGTATATTATCAGTCAATGGAAAATTAACAAGAAAAAGAAGAAAATGGCAGGGTGACTTCTATTATACAAGTATACTGTTTGGCACATTTAGACGTGAAGTTATGATTTAGAACTATCTGAAGACTAAGGTCTGCAAAAGCTCATAACATGTTTTCTTGTGCATTTTTTAGTCAGTTGATGTACACAGTTCCTGGACTTTGCCAAATTTTGGTACTAATGCTTTGCAACTTTGCAAGGGAACCTTTTGTACGTAGACATGTCCGCTATGGCCGGTCTGGGCATAACCCCAAATATATTCGAACTATATTTTGTTATAAAACTACAGTCATCATCTATTAACTTATACAAAGTGAATGTTGTTGCATAATAGGCTTGTGGGTCAGGACTAGCTAACCCCAAAGCACATGGGCTCGACATGAGGCCCGACCTAGATAACCCACAACCATGTTTACTAGCCTCTACTTCAAAAAAAAGATAAAAAGCTAGGTTCGGCTTTAATCAATCTTCATTCAGCCTAAACTAGTACGGAGTATATATAATACGGAGTATAATACTTGGTACAACATAACAATTGATTAGGGTTGACATAGAGAGTATGCAGAAAATCAGAGCAGCAATGGAAAAGGACACCATTAACGAAGATCGAATATCTGAATTACTGGAACATATAAGGCATCACTCACCTCTTACCTTTATTCAGAACAAGCCGCAGCAACAACCATACTCTTGAGATCATGGAAGAACTTATGGCTCACCCTCCCATGCTTAAGATTTGATGAAAGTTTCTTCTCCAAACTTAAGTATCAGAATCAGTCCTCTGATCATTCTGAAATAATACTCACCAACAATTTCTTCTATACACGACGGTTCAAGTGCACTAATAATACATTGGAAGAGCTTAAACTCTATATCCCAACATTGAATCTTACAAGCACTACTTACGAAATCTCAGAATCGTTAGTTTGCTTAGTCAATAAACTTATTCTTTGCGCTGTCAATGAATTCCGAGTCAAGAAGCTTAATTTTTTTATTGGTAATTGGGAAGACTACCATTACGAGGGCTTCGAAGGTACAAACTTGCCTATATCATGTTTGGCTTCCTTGGATCATCAAGTAGTAATAACCGAGTTGAAATTAAGGGGGTGTATGCTTAATTCTTGTGTCAAAACGAGGTGGCCTTCATTGAGATGCTTGTGTTTAAAAACAGTAAACTTAAACCAACAAGTAGTTGATAGTATCACTACTAATTGCAGCCTATTAGAGTCCTTACGATTAATAGGATGCCGAGGTGAAATTGACTCCCTACACGCCTCGTCTCTCAAAACACTTGTCACTCTGGACATTTTTTTTGGTAGTAAAAATCAAATCAAGAAGATATATAGAGTTAGATAACCCTAATCTTGAACGCTTTAAGTTTAATGATGTTTCAGGAAGAGTTGGACCATGTGTTATCCATGATTTAGCGTCTAGCAAAGGGTTAATCGAATTAGACGTATGCAATGCTGTACTAACCGATATAAGGTTACATAAGATCGATTTTGCGCACTTTCCCAATCTAAGGAATCTCTTTTTGGTTAGATGTTATGGATTAAAGTGTGTTAAAATTTCAAACAGAGTACTAACGGATTTGAATTTGATATATACTTGTACTCGTTTACCGTTGGAAGAACTAGAGATAATGGATGCTCCTGCACTGCAGAGATTATATGTGAATCCTGGTACTCCAAGGGTTAGAGTTCACTTGAAGTGGTACCACGAAAATGAAGACGACATTCATAATAATGCTTTCGAGTATGAGAACTTATTAAGTTCTTGGGCAATTTTGCTTATTCAAAGTTGAGAGTTTTATTGGATGATTTGGAAGTTCATTTTATTGAGGTTTGTTGACTCGGCCTGTAGCTTAATACAGTACAAATAATCATTTTTGTTTTATATATCATAAGGAGTAACGTATTTACCATTGTTTTTTCTTGCATAGAATTTGCCACATGATATGATTTCATACTATGTGGTTCCTCCGGATATTAAAAAAAGAACAAGGCCTCCGCTTCTGGGTGGGTGCAAGGACTTGAAACTCAACTATGTCGCGAATTTTTGGAAGAAAGATGACAAATTTGAAGACCTTCCTGATGGTCTGTTTTGGCTATTTTCGCACCCAAACACAGTCATTATTGAGTTGCTTCAGCAAAGGGAAAACATAGTGGGCTCGAAGGAGCTTAGGTAGTATTACACATCTATTATTACTATTGCTTATTGTCTTTTGGCTAAGCTAATGCATTAGTTTCTTTCTTCCCCTTCGCTTATATTACCTTAGCATATACGAAGTACTTCATATATATGTCGTGTTCATCCTTTGAATCCTTCATTTAGTGTGTAATTACATGCTTTCATCTGTCATCAGTTTGAGTATGCGGAGGACTGTGATAGATCAGAGAGGTGTGAGTACTGCGAAGCCCCTCCAATTACATGTTTGCAGTCAAGGGAGAAGTGTCACATTTGCGAAGCCCTTACACTTAGATGTTGGCGGCATAACTTAGACAAAGTGACGATCATAAACAAGTTAGATCAAATGAGTCCAATTTCAAGTAAACATGATGCTGAAGCTGTACATTTCTTCAAGACTGCAACAAAGTCTAGAAATGTGCAAGTAAATGTTATTTATTTATGAATGAATAGATTTTCAATAAATGATGTAGCTGCCAGCTTTGGATGATCATAAGTTCATAATTTATCACTTTACAAGTTTATTAAGCAGTAACTATTTAAAGACAGATTGTTTTGTTAATCTTATCTAATTCTTCCTAATATAATTTGATTATATGATTATTATTTTTGTAAAATAATGAGATGCATTCTATAAAAAAGCTAATCACCGGTTAGCTCATCGTGGTATTGAGCAAGAAAACAACATCAATGCTCTTTGTCACTTCATGTTATGCGGTTAGGCACTCCCTTTGTCTTACATTACCTGCATCACTTTGATTGGACACGTTTATTATCATACAAATGTTCAATTTTGATCATTAAATCTATAATTATTAATTATTGCTGTAAATATTATGAAAAAAATTACTTGTACGAAGTATAATTTTCATATTATATTAGCATTATTTTACATATGGACTACTAAAATCCCAAAAATTAATGAGCAGTGAGTAATAAATTTGGTGCGAGTACAAAAAGTCAAAATAATGCAAATAATATAGGATGAAGAAAATTACACAAATCCCAAGGTAATTACCAATACAGAGTGAATTAACAGGGAAAAAAAAAGGAGTACTGCACAATTGGTCAATTGCAAAGTGTGACAATATTTATCAGAAGTCACCTAAATGCAAGTGAATCATTCAATTCAATTAAGCAGAGATTTCTGGTAGAGTGTTAGTGGTGTTACTACCCTAATCTGCTAATTTCTCTGATCTTTCTCTCTCCTCAGTTCTTTTCAAGGTATGTGCTCATCAATTACTTGGTTCAATTATTTCTATTTTCTTGTATTAATATTACAATTTATTTGGTTTATCCATTGATTAATGCTCTGTATTTTTCTTCTTCAACTATGTCATCAATCCTCCATTTTCCGTTATTCGTTTGTTCTTCCCATTTTTGTTAATTTTTGGACTTGCATGCATTTGCTCTGCTTCTGTTTTTATTTAATTTTGGTCTCAGTATTAGTAATAACTAATGAGAAACATGAGCATGGTTTATAGTGTGAATTATCAAAGAAATCGATTCAATTTTTTAAGGGTTTTTGATTTTTTCCCCCTTTTTCAAAGTTACATGCTTTCCTTATTATTACCCACTTTTTAGGAATAAATTTCTCCAAAACCCCATTTCCCCTATTCACAATTTCCAATTTTCCAGGTTTCTTTCACTTCAAAACTCCTCCAAAATGCGATTTTCCTTTGGGTTTTCCAAATTGTTTCTCAAATTTGAAAAGCTGGTCATTTGTAACAGTACATAGTTGACAATTAAATGGGGGCATCAGAACATGTTTTTTATTTGGAATTTCAAGTTCTATTCGAATTTGTAAGGTTTATTATATGATGGAATGGTCATAAAAATAAGAGCATCTTAATTTAAGATGCAGCAGTATATAACTAAGACAAGGAGCTAATTCCATTTATATGAAGTGCGTAACTTGTGTTCGCTTGAATGTACAGATTTAAGATTTTGTGGAGAGAAATGGAGGAAAAGGGCTATCATTGTCAAGAGGTACAGCAACTGCGTAAATTTGTTTCGAAGCTTGCAATGGAAATTGATGTTAAAAACATGAAGTTGTGTGTCATGGAGAAGAGGAATGATAAGTTGTCGACAACCCTCAACAATATGGTTATGGAAAAACGGAAGCTGCAGCAAGATCATGCTAGAGGTACTTCACTAATTCTCGCTCTATCTCTGTGGATATCTTTCAGTAATGAATGATTATGAACCAATATTTTAGTTTTTACACTTAAGTGTATATATCAGTGAACCCAAATCTAGAGGCTCAATGATGAAAGAGTTTCTCCTTGATGTATGTATGTCAGTTTCCTTGCACATTTTCTGTAGAACCTTTTGAAATTATCATATTTTGTGTTCTCAACTTCAATTAGTCCTTGCCATGAAGGAGGTCTATTATGGAGTTTACTTTTCAAGTTCATTGAAGAATGTTGTCAGAGAAAAGGGTAATAGGCTCCCTTTGGATACATATGTTAAAATGTGGATTTCTCTTTTGTAAGTATTTTGACAGATACATTGAAACTAAGGATTTAGAAAAAGATGTGCTATTGCACATAATCGGCTGAGGACTTTCAACTAGTATATAAGAACTTAAGAAGGTTAATAGGTCATGTGATATCTCTTGTTTAGGATGTAAAGAGTTAAGGAACTGCCTTTAGTTAAGTTACTATTTGGTATGAGAATATTGGTATCATGACAGAATTCATTTACTTAAGTGTAACTTTCTCTGTCAAATATTTGTTGAGCAGCCAAACAACTTTCAGCTCCCACCCTTTTGGATTTTTGACCTCAAGCTGATGCCTTTTATCTGCAGACCATGAGTCTATGACACTTGATCTCTGAATTGTTGTTAGTTGGATTCTTATAGCCAAGAGCCTCGGGTATCACCAATTGAAGCCTGATGATTCTCCTGTGATAAAAATATGTTAAATGAACTTAGAGGTGCTTACTGAAGATTTTTTCTTGAACCATATCGACTTTGTGAGCTCAAACTTGACACCCTGTTGATTTTTACTTGAAGTGATGAGCAAGCAAGTCTTGAGAGTTTTGAGTCTTTTGACTTTAAAAAGCTCTGGTTTGCTCATATGCTTTATCATCCCCTTAAACATATGTGCACATTCATCGTCTTAGTGCATATAACTTGAATTTTACATGTCCATCTGACTGTCATCCTCCAATAAAACATTCATGTATGCCTGGCTTATTACTTTACATTTATCAGTCAGTATTCAGTAATGTATTTCTCTTTAGCCAGACAGTTCTGTTTCAAGCTTCTGCAATCAAATTGATGAATCTGTTTCAGTTGTTGCTTTCAGAAATTGAAAGATTGCAATCTGTGATATTAAATAGTGAGAAAACAAAATTGGAGTTGGAATATCAAAGACAGCAAATTGAGCTGAGAGCGGAAGAAGTTGATAAACGCGAGATGCAAATAAAATCTAAGCATGAAAAGGTATTTAATATCTTTTGTCTGTTTATTAAAAAAAGGAAAATTCTCAATGATGACCCCCTGACCTCCCTTTTTTTCAATTATACAAAATGACCTTAGTTAAAAATTTCATCTCACTCATAACCTTATTTCATTAAATATTAACTATGGTTAGATTTATATTTTTTTTTTAAAAATAAAATAAAATAAAATAAAAAAACTAAAAAATTAACCCAACCACCAAAACCAGCCACCCCCACCTGCCTAGCCACCATCTCCTTTTCCGGTGACTCTACCCCAGGATCCTCCGACCGCCGATAAAGCTGCGCCAACTCCACCTTGACCACCAACAATTCAGATTCCCAAATCCCCACCCACGACCCTCCTTCTCTCCCCTCTCTTCTCACCGTCACCACCACTAGATCGCCAAACCCAAATCACCAACCAGCCGCCCACCACCACACAAAACACCACAACTCCCTCATAAGCCCACGCACTTACCGTCCCAGCCAGCAGCCCCGCAACAACCACTATCACCACCGCCACACTACTTCTTCCCCTCGCAACCACATTCACCGCCCAACCACCAATCGACCACCTTATCCCTGGTGCAACTTGCAATAATCACCTTACACACCACCGCACGAACCAACCACCTACCACCATCACTACCAATCGCACACCTCCTGCAGCACACGCAACGGTAGCCACAGATTTCCAGCCACCGAGACCACCAAACAATGAACCGCACAACAGCCACCACTCTACCTCCACTATTCGACTTCCAATCCAATTGCAATCAACAATTTGGCCACCAACAATTACATTTTCAGTCTCCAATTGCAGCAATTTGGCATTCAACATCTTCAATCTTCAACCAATTGAAAACCCAGAGTTTAATCTTCAATCTTCAACAAATTCAACATTTTCGGTTAGAGGAGAGAGAGTTGTGAGGTTAGGTTTTAGAGAGGGGTTCCGGTGATTGCGGTGAGGGTGGAGGTGTTACTGGCTACGTCTAGTGGGGGATGCGGGTGGCGGTGGTGGCTGGTTGGTGGTTTTTCTTTTTAGTTTTTTTTTTTTTTTTTCTAAGCTAGCCATAGTTAGGTTTTTTTTTTTTTCTAAATAACACTCAATAATGTCATAAGTGAGAAAAATTTCTTAATTAGGGTCATTTTGAATAATTGAAAAAAAGGGAGTTCACCATTGGTGCGTAGCAAAAGTTGGGGGTCACCATTGAGAATTTCCCTTTAAAAAAACAATGTCATCACTTCATATATGCAGAACTGCAGAAGTACCTTAATCAATTATCCTGTATAGTTAGTCCCAACTCCCATCAACTGCCGGAAAAGAATCTGCAAAAGGGAGGAAATTTCAAATTAGTCTGTTTTGGCATGTCTATTCTAATTGTATATTTATACAATGTTTTACATACACTTGGGGGTGCTTAAAAATTGCTAAACCCATGCTCAACAAGGCAACATATTTAGAAGGTGGATGTAATAACTATGTTCTAGAAGCTGCATTAAACATCTAAAACTTGGGTGTGGTATACCCAGGTGTTGCATAGTAGATCTGTTTAGTCAATTTCTCATATCACCCAATCTGAACTGTCTTCTTCTCTAGTGGTACTTGGTTTTGAATTTATATATACTCGTCTAAATTATCTTCCTGCTAAAGCATAGATTGTTTATTTAAAGAGTAAATTGTAAAATCATTATCATCTTAGTTTCCGGACGAGTTAATATTCCTTCTGCGTTGTAATGATATAAAGCTGATCTTTTAAAATGATTCAAACTTCTTTCACTGTCAGCTTGATTCTTTAATGCGAGAGCTGGAAGAAGGTGGAGATGAAATGCAATGCTTAGAAACCCTTAACCAAACACTTATCAGCAAAGAGCGTATAACTAATGCAGAGCTGCAGGATGCTCGCAAAACTTTGATTCGTGTAAGATTCGTTAGACCTTGTTGCATCACCAGCTGAGATGCTAGCTTGCTTCCCATTTCAGTTTCTTGATCCTAAATCCTGCTAATTTGCATGCTCATTTATGCTGCAGACGTTGCAAGGAATAGCTGATGTTGAGGCTAATAGCATTGGAATCAAACGGATGGGGGAGGTTCAAATTAAGCCTTTTCGAGATGCCTGTCCAAAAAAATTCCCTTCTGGGGATTGGGAAATGCAAGCATCTGAGCTGTGCTCATCATGGCAACAAATCCTTGGAGATCCTAGTTGGCATCCATTTAAAAATAAAGTTGTAGACGGAAAACTGCAGGTACCTTGAATATTTCTATGCAATTTATTGTTGAGAAATGAGAAGAAAGTAGATATTAAATGTGCAAATGCAGGCATGTGGGGTTGCTGGCTTCATTTCTGCTTTTATACATTTGATGAAGATATTGAAGACCAATAATTGCGGTAGAGTTAGTATGAACTAGTCCGTAGATAGTACTCCCTTATCTGCAATTTGCACTCTGTATTACACTTGTCTGCTGTCTTGTTGTGCTGCAAACTTTCATTGATATTAATTCTGCTTTTTTTGCTACCATTATCTTATCATATTATGCAAGGAAAGCAATTACGGAGTTTGCTTGATGAAGGAAACTCTTTAAGTTGACCTTCTTCCTTTGTGGTTGGCTTTTTTCTTCCTTGAATGCAAAGGCCAGTCCCTGTGTTCATCTCATTGAAAAATCGAAAAAATTAGTCACGAATATCACATATGCTATATTAGAGATAAATGCCTTCATCCTGGTGTTCAACTTGCCAAGAAACTGCTGCTCATATGCAATAACTATGAACCATTTTTAGCAATGTCAATGTTGAATTGTTTATTTCTGTCAACTCAGGAAGTTGTAGATGAAGATGACAGTAAGCTGAAGGAATTGATAGATAAATGGGGAGAGGAAGCATATAAAAGTGTGGTTAATGCATTGTTGGAGCTGAATGACTACAATCCCAGTGGTAGGTTTGTCGTGTCTGAACTCTGGAACTATAAGGAGGGAAGAAAAGCTAGTCTAAAAGAAGCAATAGAGTATCTCGTACAGAGATTGACAGCCAAGTCCATGAAGCGCAAAAGATAATAAGTACAAGTTTCAGGGCGCACTCTATTCTAAGCATTTTCTTATTTAAAGCATCATGAGGTAGTAAACATCACGTATCGCTCTGATATTTAGGATTGCAATTTTGGGGAGTGACACTGCTAGACTGCTAGTTATTGCTTGCAAGTTTTACCAGAGCAGCTCTTCTTGAGATGCTATCTTACAACTGTCCCTACCAAGTGTTGCCCAATCTCCAGGATTGGCCAAATGATCCACTGCTAGGGAACAAATTGAACTACTACTCTATGCTGTATCGGCTATTGTGTGAAATGTGCTTCAGATATGTGGTGTAGTTTATCTATTCTAGTATGAATTACTTATGGCGTTTGCATTGTGTAATGCAGACACAGAACACCACTACTGTCTGAAACTCTTAACAGGCAGAAACATCCTTTGTTAACATAACCTAGCAAATTTTGGTGGCAGCAGCTTGGTGCCTAATTGCCAATGCACCAAGAATAGTGTATATTGGTGTTCTGTGTTTGGTATTCGAGCTGTGGAAGATTATACAGCTCATGTATTGGGTCATGATGCAAAGGCTTGCAGGTACCCTATCACCTTTGTTAAAATGATTAATTCAGCCTACTCAAGTCATTGACCCTTGTGTTCTTTAAAAAATACGAAATATTTGTTTTTTGGTGTTTAGAGAGCCACAAGGGCGGGTGATGAGAATCGATTCCAAGATCTCTTGGAACCGGGAGGGGAGCTCTAACCACTTGAGCTATCCCTCACTCTAAAAAAATATTTGTTGATAGAGCTTTCTAAAGATGAAACATTTATACTGCAGCTTAACTCGTGTAGTATTTAAATTGTTGAAGTACACATTGAGGTGCCATAATTGCATAGTACTTCGTATATTATGCTCTTGGGAGCACCGTGCTCGTTCTTCGATTGGAGCATACACTTGACACCAATTAAGTGTCACTCATATGGCGGCATGTGATGTCACTGATGTGCATCACAAGTGACATGCCCAAGCATAATCACTAGAATAAAAGAAGACTATGCAGATAATATAGCAATAAAGTTAAAACTCCTATTCAATAATTTATTTTCATTCAATTAACAAAAGTTTCAGCTAATCTAAAAAATATTACTAGGACTCCCTAATAAATTAGAATGAATTGAACAATTCTTAGGTGACCCATCTAATAAGAAGATTAGACTAGAGTTAAGTTGTCCAAACCATTTGGTAATTGATATACAAGTATATCCTAAATTTACTCCATACTATCCCAAAAATAAACCATGATTGATAGGTAAAATCTAGTCGGACCAAACTCAACACAACTTGTTTAGTATGTTTACCACCATGCTCATTTGGTCATCGATTTACCAACTCAACCCAAATTGTCTATGTGCTAGTTTGATCATTAATGTTCGAGTACTTAAGATTAAAGAGGGGCGTACTCAGTGTACTCGTAACACACTAACACGGTGACAGTTCACCTTAGTCTGCTGGTAAGTAACTAAGTACGACGTGCAAATTATTTAAGAGAGAGCATTAACGATTTTAGCCGATCTTAACATAGCATTTAAAGCGTAATAGCGTAGGCGACTTACTGGCTTACTGCACGGTGCACACATCATTTGTGAATTGTGATTCTTTAGCGTGCTATTTGAAGAAATTTTGAACTACACAATTTCAGCCTTTACTTAATTTTTTTTTCTCTCTCTTTTTTCCCTAAAAAAATCACTCAAATTTCTTTAGAAATAATTGTTGATAAAAATGTCGTCTTTTTAGTAATAATTTCTGGGTTTGGTATCAAAATTTGGTGGAAATGGAAGAATCATCTGCTGAAAAAATGAGCTCAGAAACAACAATAATCTCCCCTGTTCATCAAACCCACCCTCTTTCCTCTACTATCCACTCAGGTTTTCTCTCTTTCTCATCAATTAAACTAAATTTTTATTTATTCCTTTTTTCATATACTTGATTAGTTATTAATTCTGTTTTAGTATATTTTCTGGGTGCAATTAAAATGGATATTATGTGATTATTTGTACTATGGTTCTATTTTAAAAATAAAAAAAATAAAAAATAAAATAAAAATTGATGAAAAGGTTGTAATTATTGGTTTGATTGAGTAAAAAACTGAAATTGTGGGTTTATGTTATTTATTGATTAAGTGGAGTTACTTTAATTAGTTATGGTGTGGGTCACTTGGTCTGCAATGGATAATTTGGTGCAAGTAAATTATTTATTAAATTCCCTAATTATTCTCTGGTATTTTTTTATTTATTTTTTAATGTTGACTTGTCAATTTTCCTTATTATTACCATTATTTATTTTCAGGTGCAACAATCAACTGAGTTAAGATTGATTTGGCAATATTATTGCATGTTTTTTTAGGCTGGTCTGAAATCATAAATGTAGCTACGAGCCTACGATGATATGATGATGCTGCATAATAATAAGATGTGTTCATATATAATGATTGTTGGAATTATGAAAGCTAAGTTAGGGCTAATCTTTGTTCGGAATGCTTTTATCTAACGTAGCTCGAATGTTGATAGTCCTTTTAGTTAAATGGGGTGAAGTACATTTTGTGGTTAGATCATGCAAGTTATTTTCCCAATAATGGGTATGTGAAGCCTTAAAGGGTTCAATTTTTGGAAAACTTGTAAGGCTTGGTAAATGTAGCAATGCCAAAGATGAAACCGAGCAGCTACTCTTTCTGTTCAACATTAATTGTCACATTGTCCCAATCCCTCATAATAATAATGTTACAATGACATGAATTTACAAATAGATCGTTTATAATAGATGGAATGTTTTCATCTGTTTCCCCATTATTTACGGTAAGTAGTGTGCTAGTGTCATGTTCCAAACTCTAATCATAAACGATTAGTTGATTACCAACTCGTGGTGAAAAAGTTCCTTAAAGTGTGCCAATGACAGAGTACAAACCTTTTGATGTTGGAAACAATAGACTTTAATTGCCGGCATCATACTATTGTTTTTTTGTTATGTTTCCGCTAGCATATACTTTGTTTATGATGATGCAGGTTGCTTTTAACATTTTACTATGATGCAGAGACCATAGTTACGTCTACACGCCTATCGATAGAGAGCCAGGACACAACATGCTCCCTGGATCAATTAATTGCAAGCTTGTGTAAGGAGATAGAAGACAAAGATGCAAGAATAATGGAAGTAGAGCAGAAGTATAACCAAACTTGTGAATCTCTTTCCAAGTTTGTTGCCAGCCTCGTTCAAGAGATTGAGGACCAAATCAAGAGGATGAATGAATTGAAGCAGGAGAACAAGAAGAAAGATGCAGCTTGTAAATCAACTTCAAGAGCACTTGTTAGCTTCATGAATGAGGTTGATAGCAAAGACCAGCAAATTAATGACCTGAAGCACACTTGTAGTGAGATGTATAGTGATATAAGAAAGCTGGTGGAGGAAAGAGATTTGCTGCACAGATTAAACATCCAAGGTCGGTTTATGTTTGTAAAGATGAAACCTTTGCAATAAAAAGCACATATTATCAGACTACTTTGATGTGATAAGAAAAATGCTAACTTTGTTTGTTCTTTTAGGCGAAAATCAGCTGCAGAGCATAAGTCGAATAAACAAAAGGCTGAAATCAGAATTGAAAACTATCACGAAAGAGGTTACTGGAGAGTTGGTGCAAGGCGTGGGTGGACCTCAAAGTAATGAAGGGCAAAGTCATTCAATGGTTAGTCCATCATTAAGACATAGATACAGCGTTTTCTTCTTAAAAAATTGAAATACATAATTACACTTCAGATAGTAAGAATTTATAAGAATTATTGTGTAATTGTTGTGATAAATAGGTACATGTGCGTTGTTGACACAAGTACACAAAAAAATAAATTCATGCCATATTCATCTCCTCTATATTGCACAATTGTATGCTAATACTTAATACCAGAAAGGGCAGAAACCTTTGCATTGTTATCCTTCACTAATGAAGTAATAAGAAATTCGCCTTTTTTTTTTTGTTATCTAGCTACCAGAAGCAAAGAAATACGTATCTGAACATGTAATATGTCATGCAGACTAATTAATAATTTTTTTTTCCGAATTTAGCTTTAGAAATCTACTGTAAATCTGAACCTGCAATGAGGTTGCAATAGACTGGGCTTGCACATAGTTTTGGATCAAAGTTAACTTGAGCATTATTGGTTGATTAGCAAGTGACAGGTAGTTCAAACACTGATATTAATGCTCTAAAGAAAGAATTGGAGGATAAAACAGATGAAGTGCTTTACTTGCAAAACCTCAACCAAATTCTTATACTCAAGGAGCGCGAAAGCAACAATGAGCTCCTGGAGGCTCAGCAAGAATTGTTAAGTGTATGTTCTATATCTTCATGTATTTTTGTGGAAAACCAATTTAACTAACTGTAGAAATTTATAGATCTGCATTTTCACTTTTCAGGGTCTGCATTCAGTACTGAGTAATCGAACAATGCTTGGGATTAAAAGAATGGGAGAACTAGACACAAAACCATTCCTTGAAGCATGTGCTGATAAGTTTCCAAAAGAAGATCAAGGGATTAAGTGTGCTGAAGTATGCTCAATTTGGGAAGATCGTCTGAAAGATGCAAAATGGCACCCTTTCAAGCACAATATCATAAATGGGAATCCGCAGGTACTAGAGCAATTTACTGTTATGATACTTGACTAAGATTTAGTGTCGTGACAGGCATATAAAATCAATAGCTAAGCTATGATACTTGATACTTACAATTCAATCATGTTTAGATTTGAAGTGTGATAATTTAACACTATAAGACTTTGAAATTGAGACTCATCCAAACATCTTTTAACTGCATTGTAATACAGTAGCTCCCTTATTGTACTAGCTGATATAAGTAACTTACCTGTTGGTGAGATATTTAACACGAGACTTAGAGTTCAAGTTGAGATAAAGCTGTCAATGCAAAAGTATGCTAATTCGTGATAACATACTGTGATGGTTCATCTCTTTGCTAAATAAGTTTATTAACTTATACTCCGGCACATTTGCTCAATTAATTTGACTGAATGACAGGCAATCATTGATGAGAGTGATGAGAAGCTGGAAGAGTTGAGAAAAGAATGGGGTGAGAAAGCATACAAAGCAGTGGTCACTGCTTTGATGGAACTGAACGAGTACAACCCCAGTGGGAGGTATCCAGTTCCGAAAGTTTGGAACATCAGAGAGGAAAGGGAAGTGAGTCTGAAGGAGGTAATAGGGTACATAATCCAGCAGCTCAAAACACACAAACGCAAACGGCGGTAGTAGACTAAAGCTAAGCAACCAAGGGTATGTCGAGTGCTTAACTTGTTATGACCTTGCTAATACACTCTTTGTAGGTAGCTAGGCTTTACGATTCACTAAACAGTAAACATAGCTGCCAACTGATGCTACCAAGCTGCTGAAATTCTGTTTAAATGAAATTTGGAAGGAAGAAATATGTAGGAGTAATCTATGTATTTGCTTTAGCATTCAAAGTAGTAAACCTTTAGCTGTTGCACTAATTCTTCTCTACTCCAAACCATTAGTGCCTATAATCCAATGCTCTATTCATGCAACAAATCACTTCGTATTACCAGCAGAAGAGACTCATTCTTTATAGAGCTTCATAGTAATTTCAAGATTTCAACTATCAATACTTGAATGGAAAAGGTTACTATGTAATAAATTTTACAAAAAAGATTCAAGTTCAAATCATAATCCATTCCATAAACCAAGGTTTGCAAGTCACATAAAAATAACACCTTTTCAACCTCTATTCACCATTACTAGTACAAAACTAGCCAAGAAAAAGTGAATACTCCATAATAATTTATTTAGTTGGTTAAAATCTTGAAATATCGAGAATCAAGTATCAACTACTACGAGTAAGAAATTCTCAGCGTATACAGTAACAACTTTAGTTATTATTAATGACTACCATAGTGAGTGGGATTGTCACTTATATCAACCAGTAGTCGAGTACCCAAAACAAATTGCAACAGCCCATTGAAAAACACACAATCTCTTCAATATATCCTTGTTAAAACCCTAGCCTCAACCCCAACCCAACCAAAACCCTCTTCCTTTCCCACCGCCGTCTCTCTCCACTTTCTTCCGCCATTAAAGCTCTGCAATTAATCCAGAAAAGGTAACTTCTCTTCCTTCCTTCCTATCTTTCTTTCTATCAATAGTAATCAATTTTTCAATTCAACAAAAAATCAGTAAAAAAAAAGGGCAATGATTATACTCTATTTTTCAACACCCTCTCTCTCTCCGCCGCCATAACCACCATCTCCTTATTCTCTCTCTTTCTCTCTCCTCTTCTTGTGTGTGTGTGTGTGTGTGTGTGTTTTGTGTAAATTGTTATTGATCTTCCGGGTTTCGAACTCGCGACCTTTGTGAAAATTGCAGATGGGGCTATGATTATAAAGAGAGAGGGTGGAGTAGGGTGCTCAAATTCTTTCAATCTAATTCATTTTATTTGAATTTTTAAGGGGATTTTTAAGGATTTTGATTTTGCTAAAAATGCCGCTCCCTTTTTTAAATTTTTTTAAAAAGGTTGAGCTTTTCTGTAATTTTATGGCGTTTTTGCAAATCTTGGATTTTTTTCTCTCTCCTTAAAATTTCGAATTTTAGATTGTTGGGTTTGTTTATCTTCCCTACTATGATTGATTTCTCCAAATACACTTGATATGAGCCCTTTTTGTCAAATCAATTTATGTTCTTTATTTCTATTTTATTGATTTATTTGATGCTTTTAATTCGATTCAATTCTTCATGGATTTTTTTTTTTTTTTTTTTTTTGAGTTGTTGAACAGGATCAGAGTTCAGCAATTGGTGCGATTGTTTGAGACTAGAAGATGAAGCATGCATGAAATTAGAAAAATGTATTGTAAATGATAAATTGATATTCTGAAGTGTATAAAACTGAATTAAATTTGAGGAGTATGAACAAGATTATCTCATTCTGGGTTCAATTTGGTTTATGATTATCGAATTTCATGCTATAGTATAAGATTCTGATCAAAGATTTCGATGGAGTTGCAATGTTCAGGGAAACATGTCACTGCTAACTTGCAAGTTTAGGAATTTTGAAACTAAAATTGTGATGAGATTACTAGGAGAATTGTAAATGGCTCTTGCACATTGCAATCACGATTGAAATATGTTTAATCAACTGTATAATTTGATTATAATGTGGTTGCTTGCTGGAGGCTACTGATCTAGCCTTCACCGAATTTGCAAGATCCTTCGTGTGTTGGTGAGTACCAAAGCTAAATGTTTGCGAGTAAGAGTCCTTTCACGCATCAACGAACATATTTTGCTTCATAGTGCACATTGGCAAACAATACCACTTAACACCATGGACGAATCGCCAAGAAGGCTAGAATAATTGATTAAATGGGTTTATCCAAGTAGGAATTACCAAAAAACAAGGTACGTTAGCGTAGGGTTTAAGGTAGAATGAGCTTCGAGGGTCATTTTTATGCACTTGTTAATGCTCTAATACATCAACAATCAAGTAGACGCTAATGAAATTGTCACAATGAGCTCGAAGATACAATTTCCTTGCACTTTTCCTACACTCCTCCTAATGCCCTAACTCACTGCCACTTTTACAAGTATCAATCATACTTCTACAATATTCAAATTTGTAATTTGAGACAAATTAAATAACTTTTGATACAAAGCTTATGGATTAGATTTAGATATTACAATTGTCCACTTAATAGTTGGTATTTCTCCATTTTCCTACTCTTTGAACCACTATATACTGTATGTTTTTTGAATTATAACGCAAATCAAGCATACAATTAAGGTAGCTAACAACTCCAATTAGCTAAGAAGATTAAATACTTGTATTCATATATCATTATAGATCATATTGGTCAATTATAACACAAACTAGTACTTCGTATAAGCAAAGTCGCGGGCTTCATCACCATTTTTCTTAGCCGCTTCGACTTTTTACAATTTTCCCACTCATTCTTTTCCAATCACACCTACAAAGTCAAAAAGACACTTGACTATCAAAAGACAAAAACACCCCCAAGTTTTCCTCCCATTTCCCTCAAATTAAGGGAAGAAAAATAAAAGAAAAGTGACAACTAAATAGGGGTACATTTGGTATTTCGGATACTATTAGGACTTTATTAGACCCTAAAGTTTTTGCCAATGAATGTTTGACCAAATTGCCAATTAGGAGGGGCAATGTTCCAAGAGGTGGAACTTCTACGGTCACTGGCTGTGACACGGAATGAAAGTGCTTGACCAACAAGAACGGAGTTGGATTGCCAGTTTTGGCCCCAGTTACGGCTCATACTCATCCACCCAGTCTTTGATCCTTTAACACTCGCCCTTACTAAATCACCAGCACCTGCGACATTGGTGATTAATACCAAGTTGAAGTAACGGAAGCCGTTGATTGTGAATCGAATACCACCCTTCTTTCGACATGGAACCCTACAACCAAAAATAAAAAGAAATTTAATCATATTTATCCATCAAACCACGTTTAAAAAAAAAATATTGCTTGTGTGGCATATTAGGTCATGTCCTCACGAGGTTAGTGTGTGATACATGCTGTATTGAGTAATATTAGAGAATCGTACTCTTTGTGACTCTACTTTTATGTACTTAATGAACCGTCTATTCTAATTAATGCATATTGAAAATAAAAATAATACTCGTCATTTTAGTACTTTAGTTTCCATCAAAATAATTGAGTAAAAAGTTAATCAATTTACTCAATCAACCATAGTACTCCTATTATGCATATAATATATATCTGAATAGAATCCTTCTTTAATTAGGAACATGGAATATGTACTTCAAATTATCCTTATCAATTGGGCAAATGTCAAGCAAAGGTTTTGATCTTACTTCCACCCTAGGGTCAAGAATATATCTTTTTGAAAGAAGATTATTGAGTGATAAGATGTGATTTAAAAAAAGAAAACTCATTTTAAAAATTGGCTTTTCTTTAATTGAAAACGTAAGATAACCATTTGTAAAAAAAAAAAATTTACAAAAATCCTAATTAATTTTTTTACCTATTTAGTAAAATAAAAGATATTCCAAATAAATTTTTTTAAAACATTTATTTCACTAATTCTATAAAATTTTGGACAATTAAATATAAATGACAAATAAATAGGGAAGGGTACTAGTAGGTCTAGTACCATACAAAGTACTCTTAAAAATTGAATAAGATTCAAGAGGCAGCCTTTTCATCCATGCAATAAAGATGCAACAAATATGAATCTGACTTCTTTTTCTCTAAAGCCAAATTCATAACAACTTCAAAAAAGAAAAGCCTAAACTCAACAATTAGAGATGCTTTATTCCAAAAAAGGAAAGGCTTTAAAACTTACAAATTATAGACGATTGCATTAGTAGTGTAAGCTAATACTGCAGCTCATTCTCTCTTAAAAAGGAAATATCATAAATTGTTACGCATTGATAACACGACATATAATATTGTCACAGGGAGTAAAAGTTTACCTTTTTAAAATTGCATGTTAATAGTTAAAGGGTTACATGTATCATAACCGTTTTAGTTTTTAGTGGACGAAGGTGGACTAGTTATACACTTATACGAAGTATTACATACTTGTAATTTACTTGCAACAATATTACTGGACCGAAACATAAGGGTTATTTATAACTTACGCGACTTTCCCAACTGTCACATATTGATTGGTAAATCATCACATTTCTCTTTCACAACAAATAAAATAAAGCACCAAAACAGAGTAAAGAACAACACTCAAAACAGAGCAAAAGCAGAGGAGAGAAAAAGAAAAGTTACCGGCGGAAGGCAACAGGAACAATGCCGGCACGATATTCAGCAATCTTAAGAAACATGGGCATAGCGAGGTCGAAATGTGGGCGAGGAGGGTTACACCAACCGCCATTATCACTAGGCAGCGCGTAATTTGGCGGGCAAAAATTGGTGGCAGTGATGAGGATGGAAGGGCTTCCCGGGTGGCACCAGCGCGGGTCATCAGCACACTTGAGCTCGAAGCACGCCCCGCAACTCTGGCCACTGTTGAACAGGGCAGTACTGAGTGCAGCCGTATTCACCCCGTACCCTTGACTATACAAGTTTCCGTACCCACAGGCACCTCCTACAATTCCCAAAAACAAAATAATAATAATAATAATTCAGTTAACAATTTCAATTCTATTAAATTAATACCAGTGGTCCGTATGTTCTAGTTTGGAATGTCCCGGTGTTCCCAAACCAAACAGGCTAAAAGAACATACGGACCACTAGAACCCGGGACATAACACTAATAATACAACAACAATGTGACAATAGTATGCATGCATACCCATGGTTCCGGAGGCATCAGAGCCACCGTAAAAGGTAGCATGAGCGCTTTGCCAACCGCCCCCAGTAAAGACACCAGGGATCCTAGCATGGACAAGAGCAAAAAAAGAACATAGAGAGAAAATCAAAGGTTGGATAATAAAGGCCATTAGGAAGAAAAATTCAGGGGGTATTGGGAAAGTAGTTTGTGTTGTGTATAGAGTATGAGGTGGTGGGAGCAAAGGAGTGGCAAGACTACTTATAAAGAGGGAAAAAGGAGTTGATTTTCTTCCGTAATTAATGCTGGTTGGTCACTCTATTTTGTGTAATGTGTAATTTTATTAATACTCGTAGATTTTTCTTTGCTTTTTGGATTTTTTTTTACTTTTTCTTTTTTAGGGATAAAAAGGGCGTAAATTATGGGTGGTTTTTATCAATCACACAGCTCCCTCGTACTCAGTTATGAGTCTTATGACTGTCTGTTTGCCAATAGAGTATACCCTGTTTTTTTTTTTAATGGCATTAATTAAACTTCTAAAATTGATTACAGTTGCTATTTTTTACTTTACTTTTATTAATTGTTTTGGGCTGAAGTTAGGGTTTTGCTTTTTACGGAGAAGTACTATTCCGTATAGTTTAGAGGAGTGTGTCACCTGAATCATTAAATGTCATTTCCACTCATTTGAAAAAAAAAAAAAAGTAAACCTAGCTTGTAGAGTGCTTTTTCTAACCAAAATTCTTGTGATAGTGATAAAAATTACTCCGTAAATAAATTATTGCTTGGTTACTCCATGTCTACTTGACAATTTTTCATTTCGGCCATGAATAATATTATTTTTTCTTACTTGAAATTTTAAACAAGGTAATTTGGTTTGAATTTCTTGATATGTGGTCTAATTTATTATGAATCTACCAGATTTAATCTAACTTTAAAATCTCGTTTAATAATATCTTTTTTAATTCTTTTAATTAAAAAATTTGTAATAAAATAGATAATGGATTTGGGTTTGAATTTTAACTTTGACATTTTAATATTTTGGTCATCTATCATGGTATGAATTTAATTAAATATTTTTGGTTTGTTTTTCACAATAGCTTAGTAACTACTTTGGATTTAATTAAAAAAAAACATTTTAAATCATATAAAACATAGGACCACAGTCCATAGGGGTACTGGGTACATGGTGAAATCTACTCAATCTAAAGTCGCTCGAGTTAAGATTGGAGTTAATCATTAATACTTACTCTAGTTTTATTGAAATTTATTGTTAAGCCATAGTAATAGTGGCATAGTGCTAATGTGCTGTAGTGGTATATATGGTGCTATTCTTACGCAATGAAGAATCTATAAAATTACTATGCAAGATCTTCAACGTTCCATTTTAGTTTGATGGCAATTTATCTTTTAGGATGATTCTACTGGCCTTTAATGAAAAACAAAGGTTAGATATGAAATAGAAAGAGATGTACGAAGATAATTGGTTAGGAAGTTTAGTACCAAAAAATGAAAGGGCGTTACCAAAAAGAAGGTAATGTAAATAAAGCTTTGCTTCAGTTACAAGTTGTGCCATGAATGGCAATCGTTACTTGACTTTTCACTTTCCTAGCTAGCTATTTGCCCTCTTCTTTGAATCTTCTTTCAGTAAAAGT